TATTGTACCTGTCGTTCTCTCCTGTACAGGTGTGATACCACACACACTACACAAAAGCCTGGGAACATTACAATTGAGTAGAAATACATACATCACACTACAGAAGGCCACTATATTGAATACATGCCACATTGTTAGGAAATTCCTGAATACAGACACACACACACTGACACACTTATTTAATTTTAGTTTTGTTTTGGTTGCTATGCCTTGACTCTTGTCTGGCAGAGTATACAGCCACTGGTGTGAACCGAGTAAAACCCACTAAACCCAACATAATAATAATAATAATAAGATCAGCAAAAGCAGGATATACATCAATCTCAAGGCATACAGCAATCTTCAAATCAGCAGCAATCATCAGATATACATCATTCATTACTTAATCAGGATTTACCTAATACAATTTTTGAGACTAGTACACAAAGCTTATTTCGAAACTTGTTGAGAAGAGGAAAAGGGAAGAGAAGAGAACTATTTGAAAGTAAAGAGCAATTAATACAGTAAAGGGAAAAAATAAGTACTTTCTTTCCCGTGGGTTACGGGACGAGGTATTCTTTATTCTAATGTAATTTGTGAATATTTGTTTTACAATAAATAATAATAATAAAATAATACATTGAGCTAAAACAAAATACAGTCGACCCCCCTATANATACAATTTTTTGAGACTAGTACACAAAGCTCTTTTGGAAACTTGTTGAGAAGTGGAAAAGGGAGAAGAAGAGAACTAATTGAAAGTAAAGAGCAATTAATACAGTAAAGGGGGAAATAGGTACCTTCTTTCCCGTGGGTTACGGGACGAGGTATTCTTTATTCCAATGTAATTTGTGAATATTTGTTTTACAATAAATAATAATAATAACATCATTTATGATTTAAGTGACTAATAAAAATCAATACATGGATTTGTATGCTTTGTAGTTATTAAGTAGATGTAACTTTTTGAACATTTTTGTTTTTTCAGTAACTAATTTATTAAAAATTACATTTTAGCCACCACAAAGCTGTTAAAATAGCTATGACAATAGCATTTGTTTGGTGAAAATTCAAAGGTCGTGCTATGAAGCAATTTGCTAACCACTTAAAAGTATGGGAAGATATTCAGTATTCTCACATTTATGACATCAAGTTTTCTTTTCATTACTACTGTACTATGATTCTTGTCAAATGAATGAATAACTTCGAAAAAGTTTATAGTTTTTTTGTATCATAAGCTTAACTCCAACATAAGACACAAGTTTAATAACATTAATATGTATGACGATAAATGATGATTGACAACTTAATCAGATTAAACTTCTCTAACATATAAATAATATTTTTTGACTTCTTATAATCTGCTCTCCTCCTCTATTCCTATTTTAAGCCAGTCTTTATTCGATGCCTACAGTCAAAATTCATCATCTGAAAGAGTATTTTAACTGATTCTTTGTTTTCATTTTAAAATATTTTGTACATAATTAATTATTTTGAAATATTGAAAGCAAGATGTTGCATTTTTGTAAGGTTTGTTATGGATGACAGCATTTGTTATTCAAAGGTAAATATAATAGATGTTCTTTTTGAAGGGTCTGGAGATTGTAAAAATGTCCATTTAGTAGAGGTGTCCACTATTTGGCATTGTCCATTAATGGAGGTTTCACTGTCTTTTATTGTGAAATACATTTCAGAACAAGTCCTTGTCAGCAATTACAAATAATAAATTACAAAAGGAGGTGGACATCTGTAAGTGGTAATTTTTCATTACAAATTACAATATAAACCTTTTTTACATAAGAAATATAAGAAACCAAAGTTACATTCATTGTAGAAATTTATACATATAAAGATGGCTATAGATTCTTTATCACACATTTAAAAAACCATATGTATAACTATGAGTCCTTAAATACAGTTCTATACTGGACAGAAATTGTCAGATATTTAAATGAATTGATAATGTATAATAAATTTCTGACAATTTCTGTCCAGTGAGTTATATTTAAGCATTTGTGGCATCAAGGTGACTATAACATTGTACATGTTGATGCAAAACAAGATAATGTATATTTGGCCTACCTTGTTGAGTTGTTTGGCGTTGACCCTGACCACGTGTTTGTGTGGCTTTGTTCCATCTGTAAGGTTAGAGTAAGACAACAGTTTAGACAATAATTTAAGTTTTATTTTAACTGACCATGCGATATCTACAGAGTATGTGGAGATGTTGGACAGAGACGATGTTGCTGTAGATGATTACCTCATAAAAGGAAAGTGCAAAAAAGTGACTCTCCTTATCTCCATCCAAAAATATACAGGTCAGAGGTCACACTGTGGTGCCCTCTGCACTATACATTTATTGATATATGGCCTTAGAAACATAATATTGAACAATCATGCATATTTGTTCTATTCTCTTCTGTTACATTAAAGCATTCAATATTTGAGCATTAGCCTCATGAAGATTATTAAAGATAATCAAAAACAGTAGTTTTTTTATTTATTAAAGCTCATTTCCGTTGCATTATAAGATTGTATATGAATGTTTGTGTCAGAAGCAGATTATCAAATTATCTAGTTTGTTCTTTACTATTTTTTAAATAACTAGATTGCTTCTTCATGTCATTTTATTTTACAGTTATGCATATTTATATAATCTGTATAATAATATTTAATTTTAAAAATTTAAATTTAAAAGTCATTGTTTTAAATGTGTTTTTCTTTATTTTTCTAACACTTCACTCAATTATCTCATTAATATTTTATTGCTTGGTTGAAAATTAATAATGCACTGTACTGTACATAATATTAACAAAATCCATTGTTATAATACACTTTTAGTGTTTATTTTTAGTCTTATTTTCAGTATGAAAATAAGACTAAAAATAAACACTAAAAGTGTATTATACAATTTCAGTATGAAAATAAGACTAAAAATAAATACTAAAAGTGTATTATAACAATTTCATTAATTTAGTCTTATTTTCATACTGAAAATAAGACTAAATTAATGAAAAACAATTTCTTTATAGAGATAAAGAAATTGTTTTTCATTAATCAAAATATTTATAATATATTAGTGGTTATGGCATGCAACTCATTAGATAGTTTAATCACTTTAGAAGTCTAATAACAAGTTTTTGTTTATTAAATAAATTCTATTTTCTTAAATTCTATAATATATTGAATCCTAATAAACATAGACTGAATATCAATTATTGTATTGCAATAGAAAACCATATAAATATAATTACTTACACTTTTTCCAGATTTTTGAATAGCTTGATTTTCATTTGTGTCAAGGTACAAATCATCTAATGCCCACTGATCTTTTCCTTCACCTGAGTGCTGAGGTTGCCACCAGCGTAATCTAGTGCTTTTTGTTCTTGCAGTAAATGGAAGTGAAATATGCTCCATTCTAAGTAAAAATAAATTCAAACAAATTATTACAAAAGAATATTTAAAATAAATTTTTAAATATCCTTCATTTAAAAATACATTGTATTTATAAAAATATATTTTTAAATCCCTTCTTTAAAAAATATTTAGATATTTAGAATAAATTTTTAAATATTTAAATATTTTTAAAATAGTCATTTTTACATTGATATGAGTTATTCATTTTTATTTATACTTTGCTTATTACAAATAGGATGTAAAAAATTAAATCTGAATCCAAAGATTGGAAAAAGAGAATGGAAATAGTGTTAATAAATTGAAATTAAAATTTAGTTACTATCCCAGTCAAAATTGTTATTCATATTTTTGTATGGCTAGTTTGTGGGCTATCTATTAAGAAAGTCAATTTACAATTTGTGAATTATGCAATGGAACAAATTATTTGCTGTTTCTGCAATTTGCAATTCATTATGAACACTTAAACAGCTTTCTCTTTGTTAAAAAATCACTAAGTCTTTAAAAAAATTGAAAAATATGCATCTGTTAAGAATTTTCCTAAAACTATTTAAGATACTTATATATTTTCCGTACTTTTAATCTTCTCTTGCTCATATTCTATGCATCAATCCATGCTTTAATTAATGTTATTATACACTCTTTAATTAATATTTTATATTAAAAAAATGAACATAATTCCAAATTTCTTAAATAATGAAAGAAATTTTATAGAAATCTTATTTAGTGTACAAACATTAAGTACATGTATCAACTAAATAAAAATTAATAGTGAAATTTGGCTTGTGTCCGAGTGAATACACTATATAGTTGGTGTTTGAGTTATATTATAGAACTCAAATTAAGTAACAGTAAATTGCTTTCAGTCAATCAAGCCCATTTTTAATTCAGTAAAGCTATTATTTACTGAAACACATAGGGTTGAACTTGTATCTTAAAGCTAATAAGTTTCCAATAGTTCCATTTTTCCTGTTTCTCCCATTTCAGTTATTTTATAATTGTATATCTATAATAAATTGCATCTAATGGAAGTGAAACAGAAAAAACACAATAAAACATTACATGAAACATTTGATACAATATTTTCTAAACAATACACAAGTAACACCATGTTTTTAATTAATGTCACTTTGAAATTTTGGTATTTACACTTGTAGAAGTTACATAAAGATTTTATTTCAGTTCTAGAAATTTCTAAAATTTGTGAATTATATAATCCACCATAATTATCTGCACAAAAATACAATAATTAAAAGAAAACTTAAATAATACTATCTTTTATTAGAATTTTAGGATTATTTCTCATAAATTAAGCATAACTAAAAATATCTCAAAAAATATCAAGTCAAAAAATATCAAGTCAAAAAACATTAATTTGATTAATGATCCCCATCAGTTCTTGAAAAATTTCTTGAAGCAAAATATATAATTAAAATTTATATTTTTGTTGAAATAGTAATCAAATATTTCATTTTCTATGTCACTTTTTATTAATCACATAATTATTTATTGATAAAAAAAAACTGAGAGAGATTCATTATCTTCCAAATCAAATAAATTATGTCTATGTAAAACATTTCTTCTCTTCCAACAAATATTTAGTTGGAAGAGAAGTCAACAAATTAAACATTTTTAGTGATAAGTGTCTCCACGTAAGGAGCGGCTGATTATTACAGGGGAAGGCAATGGAATACCACCCCTTAATCTATTCCCAGGATATCACTATGGAGAGGAAACTTACATCAATGGTCCCTAGCCCCAGACAGCCCTTAGATGGGCAAGGGGTGCGAAGAATCTCCCGGCTCAACATAGTGAAATCAAAAATCTGTATCGCCACATGGAATGTGAGAAGCCTTTTTATGGCTGGTAAGTTTGACAATGTAATTAAAGAAACCCAAAGATTAAAAATAGATATTCTAGGCATTAGTGAATTACGTTGGCCTGGTTCTGGAGTATGCCAAAATGAGCACGGAACGCTTTACTATTCAGGAAACAATGACCAAGACCAATACCACCGAAATGGGGTGGGGATATTTGTTTCTGCAAAACATACGCAATGTGTTATCGGCCATTCACCAATATCGGATAGGCTGATGATACTTCAAATACATGGTCAACCTTTCAGGATTAATATAATACAAGTATACGCCCCAACATTTACCAATAATAATGAAGACGAGCTAGAAGACTTATACAACTCTATCGATAAGATACTTGGCAAACTAAAAAAGGATGATATCACCATGATTATTGGTGATTACAACGCTAAAGTTGGCATGGGAAGACGGGAAGATCTGATAGGAGACTTTGGGTTGGGTCTAAGCAATGAGAGAGGTGACAGACTTTTTGAATTCTGCCAGGAAAATGATATGATAATTACGAACACTTGGTTCAAATTACCAAAAAGAAGACTCTACACCTGGAAATCACCTGCTGATAAAAATCAAACACCAATTAGAAACCAGATAGACTACATACTCATTAATAAACGTCACAGAAACTGCGTAACACGGGTGACAACATTCCCTGGCGCAGATATTGGTTCTGACCATGTTCCACTGGTGGCAGACATCAAACTAAAATTAAAGGCAATTAAACCAAAGTGCAGAAGCCAACACTATGATATTACGAGAATAGAAATACCACAATTTAGAAAACAAGTAGAAGAAGAATTGAATAAGGAGCTGGGCAACTTGAAAGATAATAATCATTCTGACGTACAAACACTATGGGAAGATCTGAGGGACATCTTGATCAAAGTCTGTCACAAAAACCTAAAATCAACCTGTAAAGTCAAGAAGAAAAGATGGATGATGGAAGAGATACTGGACTTAATGGAAAAACGAAGACTAACAAAAAATGACGCAGAAACTTACAAACGTATCAATGACATTATAAAGGTAGAGATAAAAAAGGCCAAGGAGGAATGGATAAAGAGAAACTGCAACGAAATTGAAAACCTCGAAAAAGAACATATGTTCCAGATGCATAAGAAAATCAAAGAAATGACGGGTTCATTCAAGTGTCATCGCTCTAATATACTAATGGATGCTAATAACAGTCCTATTATTGATGAAAATGAACTGAAAAACACGTGGAAACATTACGTTGAAAAACTTTTTGATGAGGAAAGACCAACACCCATAAATAAAGACCCAGTAGAAGGTCCTGAAATACTCGACGAAGAAGTAAAGCATGCCATTCATATCGCAAAGAATAAGAAAACTCCCGGACCTGACGAAATCCCGACTGAAATTGTGAAATTGATCGAAGATGATAATATTAAACTAATTACTAGATTATTCAATCGGATCTACAATACTGGCACAATACCAAAAGACTGGTTAAAATCAACCTTTGTAACAATCCCTAAAACAAGTCATCCTAAAAGTTGTAGCGACTACAGACTCATTAGTCTCATGTGCCATGTTCTGAAGATATTTCTACATATTATACACGCCAGGATATATAAAAAATGTGAAATTGATCTCGACGAAACTCAATTTGGATTCAGAAATGCTTTTGGAACAAGAGAAGCGTTGTTTAGTATCAATGTCCTTCTCCAGAGATGTCGTGAACAACAAAAAAACATATTTGCTTGTTTCATCGACTATAAAAAGGCTTTCGATAGTGTGAAACACTCCAAATTAATAGAGATCCTACACCAAGTTCAATTAGATGGCAAGGACATCAGAATAATTCAAAATTTATACTGGGGTCAAACAGCAGAAGTCAAGTTAGGAACAATGAAAACAGCAGAAATTGAAATACAGAGAGGAGTCCGGCAGGGCTGCATTCTTTCGCCCCTATTGTTTAATCTGTACTCAGACAAAATCTTCAAAAATGCCTTATAAAACTCAAATTATGGGATTAAAATCAACGGTGTAATTCTTAACGTCATTAGATATGATGATGATATACTAATCATATGCGACAGCCTAGAAGGCTTACAGGTACTACTAAACAAAATTAACTCAACAGGAATTGATGCCGGTCTCAAAATAAATGCAAACAAAACTAAATTTATGATTTTTAGTCAGACCCCACACAGAGAGGCACAACTTGTTCTTGACCAAAAAAAATTAAACGGGTCAAACAGTTTAAATACTTGGGAAGCATAATTACAGAAAATATAGATTCAGGGAAAGAAATTAAATGCAGGATAGCAGCAGCTAGAACATCTTTCCAAAAAATGAAAACCCTGCTCTGCAACAACAATTTAAATTTGAAATTGCGGCAACGCATGGCCGAATGTTATATTTGGTCAGTTCTCCTCTATGGTGTGGAAAGCTGGACATTAAAAAGGAATACAGAAAGAAGACTGGAGGCATTTGAGATGTGGATTCACAGAAGGATGCTGAGAGTCCCATGGACGGATCGAGTGACCAACAACAAAATTCTAAGCAGAGCAAGAACAAACAGAAAATTGCTGTCAACAATCAAATGCAGAAAGATTGCATACTTGGGACATATCACTAGAGAAGAAAAATATAAAATTCCACAACTAATCCTCAATGGAAAGATTGAGGGAAAGTGTAAACGAGGCCGAAGACATTTATCATGGATGAACAATATTAAAAAATGGACAGGCATACAAAACATTGGGGAGGTAATGAGAACGGCCGAAGATAGGAACTCCCTCTCCTTGGTGATCGCCAACGTCCGAGGGACAGGGCATGGCACGTGAAGAAGAAGAAGAAAACATTTTTTTACTTGTTTTTTCTGAAACTACAAAATAAATTTGCAAGCATTTGTATTTCACATGTATGCTAATATTGTTTTTTTTTTCTCATTCTCTAAAAGTAAATCAAAACAAAATTTCATTGTCTTATTTCTAAACACTGATGTCTTTCAGAGTAAATGTATTCCAGAATTGTATTTCAAAGATAAATTTCTTTTATTTTAAATTAGTTAACATATATTGTTTCAATTAAAAATGGCAGACAGTATTATACACTTTATAAAATATCTATAGAAAAATACCAGAATGTCTTCACATATCCATCTTGTCCAATCACCAAGTCTGTGAAGCAAGACTGTTTGGTTCCTGGTGGACGAGTGGGAAAAGGCCCTTTTAATCAAAGTATTAAATGCTGCAGCCTTGTAGGTGAATGGGTCGGATGAACCTACCGGTATGTATATAGAGGTGGCATAAGGTTTACGATATACCGACGTGACGATGGCGGATCCTTCTACTTTAATGTTTATACCCACTATGCGTACGAAGACCAATACTGACCAGGATGAACGTACACGCCTTCCAGTCACCTTTAACCCATATGTTAAAGTGATATACGCTGAGATTGCCGGAAAACAACAATTACAAATAGCCTATAGAAGATGCCCAACAATCTACGACATCCTCAGAAATGGAAAAGGCAGTCTAGTTCGTAGCAGGCTTCCTGGCGTGTACTCTATCCCGCTGAAAGATAACAGATGTAACGAGAGCCTTGTCTATATCGGCTCAACCAAGCGATCTTTAAACACCAGAGTACAAGAGCAGGTCTGCTTGACCTTCGGCATGGGCGGTACACCACGGCCCTAACCACCTTTGCATCCGATCCTGATATAGAACCGGAGTTCGACAAAGCTGACATCATCGACACTACGCCCCACCTGGAACATCTAAAATGGCGGGAAGCTATATCCATCTGTAAGGCTAACCACCTGACCACATGTATAAATCGGAAGGATGAGATTAATCTTTCTATAGCGTGGCAGGCCCTCATAAACAACGATCTATAAATAGCAACATCAGCGCACGAATGCACATGACCATCTTAATGATCATTCGTTATGCGAGTTTCATATTTTTTGTTTAAACATCTGCGTTCTATTTTTAGATTCGGTTTTTTATTTAAATATCTACGTTCCATTTTTTGAAGTGTTCCATCGGAATTTTTTCTCTACCTGAAGAAGAGCTATCTGGAAAGCTCGAAAACGTTTGTGAAAGGAAGATTTTTTCAGTAAGTATTTAGTATTTCATCCCTGGTGTCAGAGTGAAGTTTAATTTAGTTAACATATAGTTTATGCCATCTATTTTTTTCTGAGATATTGAACAGAATTCAATCATTTGATTTTTAAATATTTATAAGGAAAAATCTGTATTGAATTAAATAAAATTAAAAAGTCTTAAAAGGCATGATAATACAAATCAAATGAAAAATATGTCAAACTTTACATTTAATATACTTTTGTGTGTAGTCCCCAAAAATCCCAGAACTTTGCTCATACAAATACATTGCACTAACCTTATATAGCTTTGCATGCACATGCAAATACCTTGCATTGCTACATGCATATACCTTACATGCATGTAGTAATGAGCACTAACTTTGTTCATTACTATATGCAGGGCCAGTTCTGGTAGGTATGCAGTATGTGCATGGTAGGATGGCTGATAGTGCATCTTAAAAAATAAAATTCAATATAATTTTTATTATTTTAATATGGTGGTCAGTGAATAAAATAGATTAATGTTTGCATGACAACTGATAATATAGCTGTGCAAATTATGGATATGAATAACATTAAAGCATACCATTAGGGGTTTTGCATCAGAAAACTTAAAAGTGCAGGCAACAGATGAGGAGAAGATTCATCTGTTGACCGTAAGAATAATTTATCAGTTGGAATTCCATCACCACTAAGATTGTCTCTTGTTTTAAATCTTGTAAAAAGCATAAAAACTCAAAGTTTGCAAACTCCAAGCTATTTACTTATATTTACATTTTAAACATAATTTAATGTCTTATGATCAAGTTTAAGGTTACATTTACGTAATTCATGGTGAATGGCTGCATTAAATAACATAGGTACAAGATTTTATGTTTATGCATAATTTTCATTGTAAATTGGCCTTTATTCCCATACAATTAATCTTCAAGTGATACTTACATCATTGTTTTAATTGTTCAGACATAAAAATTCAGACATAAAAAACTGCCACACTTAAACTGGAACTATATACTAAACCAACAACTTGGCACCTAAATGCGAATTCCAGCATATAATGAACAAATAAAATTTAATGTTCAAATGTTTTTGGCCATCTTTCAGAGGTCCTGATCAGGAATGAATGCACAAAACAAAAAACAGTTCTATCTTTTGAAAATTTCTAACTTTTGAACTTAGCTGTGTTCCAATTTTTAAACATTTAAACAATGTTCAATACAAAAATCATTATGTTTATATCATATAAATTAATTATTTTTAAAATAAATTCATTATTATTATATTATGTGGCATTGTAAAAGTTAGTCTGATGTTTTAACATATAAACGATGTTCGATAAGGAAATTGCTTCCTTTACATTGCATAAAGATAAATAAATCGTGGATGTATTATTTACAACGCCACAACAATAATTTTTTGTGTGTAATTATTTATTTATCTTTATGCAATGTAAAGGAAACAATTTCCTTATCAAACATTGTTTATATGTTAAAACATCACACTAACTTTTACAATGCCACATAATATAATAATAATGAATTTATTTATAGCTTTATTTAAAAAATAATTAATTTATATGATGTAAACATAATAATTTTTGTATTGAACATTGTTTAAATGTTTAAAAACTGGAACACAGCTAAGTTCAAAAGTTAGAAATTTTCAAAAGATAGAACTGTTTTTTTTTTTGTGTTTCCTGCATTCATTCCTAATGTGGGCCTCTGAAAGAGAGCTGAAAATGTTTGAACATTAAATTTTATTTGTTCATTATATGCTGTAATCGCATTTAGGTGTCAAGTTGTTGGTTTAAAAGAAATTCAAATAAAGAAAGAGATATGCACAAATGCTATTATTAATAATTTAAATATTCCTATTTAAACTAATTTTTATATAAATACATGTATATATTGTACTTATATACTAAATAAGAAAAATTTTTTTAAATTAATTTCATTTTAATTTGCAAATTCTATTTTATGGCAGTGCTAAAATATAACTTTGAACAAAAGTGCCTGTTATCTACAGGGTGGATTGATTTGAATAAAATTAAAATAAATATATATCAAATATTTTTATGGATGTTTTTACTCCTGTCAACTATAGGAAACTGTCATAAAATATACCAATAGGGTCTCATGAGTTGGGTTAGATTATGAATTACGCTATTTAACTAATTACTTGTGATTAGTATTGATAGGGGCAGCTAAATATCTATAGCATGCAGGAGTCTAATAGTCCAAAACCAGCCGTGACTACATGCTAATTCTGTTTCTACATGAATCTTTTTTACACAATTTTAATTTAATGTGGTCTAGAAAAGAAATTCAATTCTCTTTTTACATAATTTGTTTCAATAAATTTGCCTTTTAAAACATCTCCATTTTTTTATTTTCAGTTTTGGCTCTTTCTACTCTGGGGTCATTAAAAGAATCTTTTTCCACATTCATTGTAGATTCAGCCAGGCCCACAGTGAGGACAGTAAGTGTACAGTGGTAAGTGACAGAACCAAACATATCTTGAGACAGACCACCCATTAAAAATTCCTGGAGAGCTGTTCACCTAGATTAGATTCAAGGACCCTCAGAGGTAAGTTGATGCCTTAACCACCTCAGCCATCCATTTAATTTTAATTCTAAAAAATATTCATACTTCCTATTCTAGAAAATTACTCTTTTAAAAAAAAATTCATAGAATTTGCATTTAAGGCTGTTATACATGTTCAAGTAAATTTTAAAATTTGATTGGTTTCTTCTTCTTAGCTATGAGTATCTTATTACTTTGATAAATCTTGTTTCTTGTCCTTTTCAAATTTAATGTTTATTAAGCTTATACAGCTTGATAAACATTAAATGATTTTTTAATTAAAAATGTCAATCATTCAAATCATCAAATTTTTATTAAATTATAATTTATAGTAATTGATTACTTTCTATTCTCATCCTATGTTCAACTTATTGATGAATTGCTAATTGACATTTAAAGATTGAAAATGAAAAAGATTAATAAAATTATATATAAAATTTCATTGTTCTTTCATTATTAATTTTATTACAAATATGCATTGTGTATTAAATAATAAAAAATAAATCCAAATTCCTCTAAAATATAACAAAAATCTGCTTTGTTGGCATTCACTCTAAATATCAATTAGGGAAACTGATATATAATATGTATGGTTCAATCAACGAAGCAGATTTTTGTTATATTTTTTATCTAGTTATATATAAATTTATTAAATACTTTTACAGCAATAATTATTCTTTTACAGAAATTTAACAATGTGTTAATTTAAAATTTGTATGATTTATTTACAATTATAAAGCAACTTCTATGTCATATTGACTGTTTTTCATTTCCAATCTTCCCTTAAAGTTACTCTCATTTTCACACTCCTATTTACAATTATAATTTATAATATAAAAATAAATTAAAATGTTTACCTTGGTTGACGATAATTTTTTGAATATAGTTCTCTTAATAAAGACCAAGATATACCAGCATCATTTGAATATTGAAAGAGAACACTTTCATTTCTTTCTGAAGCATTATTACATGTTAAAGGATCACCTCCTCCAATTCTTATAAAGAACTGAACAAAATCAATAGACTCAGTATCCAGATCAGATGTTATTAATTGACGAATACCATCCTAAAATATATTTATTAATTTACAATATTTAAAAATTCATTCCTTAATCATAAAAATATATTTTTATATTATTTAATTTTTCATGTACTTTTAAAATAAATTTGATGTAATTTTCATTTATGTAAAATTATATCAAATCCAAATTACTAGATTTTGAAAACTGAGTTAGACTCCAACCAATGCCGAATTTTATTGGGCTAGATACGACTAATTACTAAATAAATTATGCAACCAATTTGGCACTAGAGGTGGCACCTAATACCTCCCTCTAGTGTCAAATTGGTTGCATAATTTATTTAATAATTAGCCATATCTAACCCAATAGAATTCGGCATTGGTTGGAGTCTAGCTTTATAGTATATTGGGTCTAGTGATGTTATTTATAAACTGAGTTACATTATATATTTTAATAGTTTCAACATATCAATACAAAGAGACATAAATTCACACATACCAAGCTTATTATCATTTCTTCACACAAATTAAAAAACAAGACATTTCATAATAATATATTTTAATTTCTAAACAGATTATGACAAAAATAAGGTTAAAACACCACCTCCTGAAGACTTCCCTCATCAATCTGCCTTGTGTCAACTTTAGTAAAGAGTCTGATTGATAGACAGGGTTGTAAAGTATTATACCATCCTCCATTTTCTCCAGACATAAGTCTATGTAATTTTGATTTGTTCTCTAAAATGAAGGAATTTCTCTGTGGAATTAATTTCAATACCATCCAGAACATTACATAGACAGTAGACTGCTCCAAGTTGCTATCAACAGGAATCAGGTTGCTAACAGCATTGATGAACTTCCATATCAGAGAGAATGGGAGAATGATAATGCAGGTGACTACATCAAGGGACTATAAACTGTGCGCAGTTGTACTTCTATCTTGTCATGTGTAATCAGTGATCATTTATATATTTTCTCATAAATCCTCATATTTATGAGAAAAAATAATGTTCCTTTCAGCTTCAAATAGAACAATTAATTTTCATGTTTTTGAAAATTTAAATTTAATGTATTTATTATTTAATACATGTTTCTGTTACTGCTTATTATAAAAGCAAAATCCTGTTAATCTTCTTAACCCTTATCCAGATAAGGTGAGCCTATCAAACTCTTTTCAAGTTTCTTTTGAAGTCTTTTCAAGGATGCCAGATATTAATTTTCATATTTCTTTTTTTTTTCATTTAAGATTACTACTTGCTGCTTTATGTATTTGTCAATTTATGTTTACAAAACTTTATTCTAGAATTATAATGCATTTTGTGTACACTGATTTAAAATAATATAAATAGAAAAAAAAATATATCTTCAAACATATAATGTAAAGTTCAACATTGTGCAAACTCTGATTGTTGTTGTTTGAAGATGCTACATTTTGCTGTTAGTGAATTACTAAATTTCAAGTTACTTAAGCAAAATTACATAAGTATCTGTTTGAAACATATTTTGTTTGAGATAATATCTATCTCAATTGTTAAAATGTCTTTGCATCATGTTATGTCTGATTAAGAAGTGCAGGAAATTATACATAACCTCAGTGATGATGAACTGACTGTACTCGACAATGTTGAAGAGGAAAATTATGAGGATTCTGATCATGAATCAGAGATATCAGATGTTCAAGATGATATAATTGCTTTTGAATCTGATGATGATTAAGATCATGATTTGGGTACAATGGTAGGCAAGGACAGAATCACATTGTCTTCTATTCTACCTCTAGAAAAAATAACTCAGTTGCATTATATTGTAACAGGTGCAGATGGAAGAAAAACTTTGTGTGAAACAAAGTTGTTCTTCCATTTAGGAAAAAAACATACTAAACAGTTTTCACTTATTTACAATTTCTGACATCCTTTTACAAATTGTTTGCTTTAAAAACCAGGAAGCTATACAAGTATACAGTAACCATTATCTGAGATACCAATAGAAAGCATCTGACATAATAGAAATTCAAGCAGTTTTTGCCCTTCTTACTGAAGGACATTTGAAACTCAATAACACAAGTTACAAAGTTTTGTAGAGTCCTGCTTAATTAATATCCTCCTATTTTCAGTGCTATAATGGTACTCTGTTCATTCAAGAATCTTTTGTGATGCATTAGATCTGATGATGAAAGTACAAGATCAGAACACTATAAGAAAGACAAGTTAGATCCAATAGTTGTTTTAGTGAAGAAAACTACAAAAGAAAAAAACAATGTTTCATGTACAGTACACTAAGAACAAGTCTCAAATGCAAAAAAACATTGTGATGTATGCAACAATAATGTATGCAGTGAACATTCAGTAAAGACCTTATTTGCTGTATATGTAAAAATAAGTCCAAATAAAATTTATTTTGACTTATTAATAAAAACATAATGAATAATTAAGGATTAATAAAAAAACATGTTTTGTACTAATAATGTGACTAAACATAACAATAATATTAAATTGTGTATCAAACCAAAGAATTAATGCTGAGTCCATTGGACTCACCTTATTCCTTTGTGTTACATAAATAACTCATTCAGATAAGGGTTAATTGAGAAAATTTTCAACTCTCTTCAGGTCAACTTCACCAATAATGGTTGTAAACTAGAATAGTTGATATTTGAACTCAAAGAGAAAAAGCTTTTTAAAGAACATATTCATTCTCTTTCATTATCACAAGTACAAATTCACAAGTTAAATTATGACATAATTTACAAAATTTGATAACCAATCTAACTAAAACTAAAGTAAAATAATTTCATAATAAATATATATATTACTTGATAAAAGTAAACTGTTCCTCCAGATGTGATGATGCCACATCCCTCTTCAGCACTGACAACAGCTCCACCATTAATCTCAAATCCTTCTTGATCAACTTCTTGAGAGCTTTCAAAATTTTTTTTAATGACAGTTTTTAATTTGTCTTTTGGTAGACAACTCTTTCCATAAAATCCCTGATCACATCTTAAAAAACAAAAATTAAAACTGTACATTCTTTTTTCATTTACAAACTAAAAAAAGTAAGTTTCATATTATTTTACAATAAGATACAATATTTAAATTAAAACATAATAGTAGTGAAAGAATAAGAATATAATAAATTTTTATTCTTTCACTCTCCAGTTAAAAAATAAGTTAATTATAATTTCTAATCTAACCTGCAGAACTGTCAAAATTTAATCAAAGTAAAACATGCAACCATATTTAAATTCAGTGAAAATAAAGAATAATTTTTTCTAACTTATCTATTTAAAATTATTTCAAGATGTTTAATTTAGTTTTAGAAATAAAAAAAATATAAAAAATTGGTTAGTCCATTAAGAAATATGTAAATTTCATAAGAATATTTGTCTTGAAAACATTTCAAATAAAAAGTTTTTGACTTTTTGAAGATGGTTTGGAAATTGTTATTGTATTGAAATTTGGAATTATTGTTCCTTTGTTTAGAAGAGGAATTTATATTTTTACTCTCATTTCTTAAATTGGCTTTTCTATTAATTTTTAGACCTAATGTATGTTTTATTTGAAATGTTTTCAAGACAAATATCCTTATGAAATTTACATATTTCTTAATTGTTGTTTAATATAAAAATTATAATTTTATTTTATTATTTATATAATGGCAAAATAATTGTAGTAATAGATAACTTTTAAGATATTTCAATTTTTAATATATCCTTTTATGTATTACTAGATAAAAATAAGATATATAATGTATAATAGATTAAAACAACAGTTATTATTTATATTATATTTGATAAAAATAACCACTCACTAAAAGATAAAAGTAAAATCTAGTTTTTTTCCCTTGAAATGAAAACTGTTTCTGTATAATTTGTTTCACTTTTATAATTTAAATATTTTTCTCATTTTCAATAATTACAAACAGGGTTATCAATTAAATCTTTCCAAAATTAAATGAATATTTCAATGATCATTACTGGATTCAATATTGTCAATTTAATGTCTAGATCAGTGATTCCTAAACTTCAATCCACCGCCCCCTTTCTTCCATAAAGTTATACCCAATGTACCAAACCCATTTTCTCCTGTGTGAGAAAGGATTGGAAATATTCTTAAGAAAACTTTTCTATGAATCTCACACTTTGTGCCCTTACCATACATTGTTCTCAACATCTGGAAACCATTAAATGCGATGTTTCCTCATATCAGTTTAACAGAAGAAAGGAAACGTCCTTCAGTGACCCCAATTTTTCCTTTGGTCACCGTTCAATACCCTGCCTCCAGTGCCCCCGTAAATTTACTCATTGCCCACAAGGGGGCGTTATTGCCCACTTTGAGAAACGCTGGTCTAGATAAACACCAATTTCTGAATTTGCATTTCTTTAACATTTATTATTAGGATTTATTTTTATGATGAAATTAATTATAAAATAACAAAAGAAAATAAAAATATATTCAGGATGACTTACAGACATGTTCCTTCTATACATCTGCCATGACCACTGCATAAATCAGGACACTGCAATCCAATATATAAATTATCTATTGCCCAAGTATCACCTTCTTCAAAATTTGTTTGAAAAAACCGAAATCTGGTAGAACTTGACCTTAATATACAGGAAAGAAATTGAATATCTTTTTATATACAGTATAGTCAACATGTATGGAATAAAGGGTTTCATATGTGTATAATTAATTTGTAAAAATGTGAATTATTAATTCTGTAACACAAAATACAGAACAAAACAACCTGTCTTTAAAGTAACAATGTTCATATTTCATTCAAATGTTGTTAATGGAAGGACTTAGGTTTTTGTTGTGTATTTTGTATTACAGAACAGTCCAGTTTGCAGAGAAGTTTTTCTATTTACTAATTCTGGTTATATTGAGACTAAACAGAATTTAATGATGAGACAATTATGATAATTTTGCCTACCATTAGTTAGAAGGCTTCTTCTAATCATCAATTCTGTTTGTTCTTGTCTGAATATAACCTGGTAAGAATCTAAAAGTTGTTATTGTCTAGAATAACTAAAATATATTTGTAAATATAAAAGTAATTCATACCATGTGGTAGATGGAAGATTTATTGTAACTCTTTTCCATTTTCTATGCTCAGATGGATCATAAACAGTTCCTTTTGTAAAAACACCATTACAACCACCAATAGATGGAAGACAAGGTTTATGAACTAATTGCCAATTCATTCCATGATTAGTTGAATATTCTAAATGAACCTAAATTATTTTTAAAATATTTTGATTAATTTAAAATATACATGCATTTAACAATAATTTATACTATACTATTTTCATATTTCTAGATGTTTAGTTTTTGTTAACTATCTTAATGAATATAACAAACATTGCAAAGCCCAATATGAATATAGAAACATTACCAAACGATTGCCTAAATAATCAGGCTATAACCCTGCTAATTTAATAATTAATATTAAGTAATTTGGTATTAGAGGTAGATGTTAGGCACCATCTCTTATCTAAATTAATAATTATAATTTTTAATAATTTATTAAATAATTTAGAACCATCTGGAAGAAAAGAACTGACTCAGGGTGGGGCATGAACTCACAACCTCTGCTTGTTATGCAATGTGCTTGTAAGTTGTGCCACCTGGACCTGTAAGGTTATATCTAAATTTAAATACATCTGGAAGCAAAGGCTTGCTTGAGGTCTGGGTGGTACAACTGACAAGCATACCACACAACAAGGAGAGTTTGTGTATTCATGCCCCACCCTGGGTCAGTTCTTTTCTTCCAAATGGTTCTAAATTATTTAATAAATTATAATTATTAATTTAGTTAAGAGATGGTGCCTAACGTCCACATCTAGTAGCAAATTACTTAATATTAATTATCGAATTAGTGGAGTTATAGCACAATTATTTAGGTGATCATTTGATAACGTTTTTATGTCTTAATAAATACAATATTTTAAACAAATTTAAATTTTTATTCTTCAAAAATGTTTTCAATTTTTACATAACGTTTAAGTTATGAAATTTAAAAATTAAATTTCTTCTACATATAAGAACTTATTAACTTAAAATATTCAATCATCAAGCATGATTGAAACAATTTGAGTAGTTTTATTCATTAAAAATACTATACTAATCAACAAAGCAATAATTAATATAAGTTTAAAAATACATGCTTATAAAATATAATAAATGAATTATTTGTAATTCAATTAAGTAATAAACTTTTTAAGAAGTAAAAATAATTTTTATTCTTAAATGTTTTTAGAATTAATTCATCTATTTTTAAACAATAATCATTTTTAATATTTTAAATACTCTACTATAATCTTTTATTCTCTTCTGTCATTAAGTATTCTGAAGATAAAATAAATACTGAAAACAGGAGTAAAAAATCAAAATAAATTTGAACTTTTAAAAGATTATTTAAATATGTGATTGATTTAACTATATAGCTAATAAAATATTTTCATTTCTAGTATATACAGTCAAGCACCATTTATATATCTCTTAAGAGACTAGACCAAAAAAACAAATAATTAAAATTTAAGACAAGATGCACCACAATATGAGAGAACTAATAGTTTTCATGACAAACTCATTATTACAATTTTTAAATTAATTATTTGAGGTTTATGTTTTATATTCTATTATCAAAAAGCAATATCTTTTTACTGGACATTTTCTTTTTAATTTGTAATGACAGTTCACTAGTTGAATAGACATAATTTATGTACATAATTAACAGCAATCAATTCTAAAGTGATTTTTGTCTATTCAATAGTCAAATGACCACTGATAACGATTGAAAAATTGCTCTCTATAAACCTTTTTTATTTTTATTTTAATTTTTAGAATATTTATTAAGAGCTATTATAAAGTTCTTAAAATTTTGAATATTTATTAANAATGATTTAGACAAGTGTCTCACTGTGCAACTAGCTTAAGAAATCTGGTGTCATAGAAGGAAACTGACTGCACCTCAAGCAACAATTCTCAGGGATCAATCTGAAAAATTTTAAAATATAGCCACAATTTCACTAGTTTTTAATTTTTTTCACCACTTCAAATTATTTATTGCCACCAGTTTTACTTACTAATTAATGAAGGTATTGGAAGCCTTATCAGTTTGGCATCTGGAAAGCAAAAGTGATATATTAAACTGTCACTTACAAAGAGAAGGTCAAACATTTGGGTCTCCAATTTGAACAAAAGTTGATGAGCACACAGCCTTAAAACACAAACAGCTCCTTGTCCAATAATAGGACCCACTATTCAAACATTTCGAAAAATGGGGTTCTGAAAATTTAGTGTTTAATTTATAAGTCTTTGGAAGTTTCATATCCAAGAGCAGCAATAGCCAAATGAATAAGACACTAGGTACTGGAGGTAGACAACGTAGGTTTGAACCTTTAAAATTTTAGTTTAGTTCTTTTTTATGTGTAACATTATTATTTTACCACATTATTATTACTGTTATTATTCCTCATGTTTAAAGCTCACAAAACATTAAAAAATGAGATTAAGAATTGTGATGTCATTTCCTATTTATGGAAAACATGCCCCTGTAGATTTAACTCTTATGTTATTAAATAAAATTTTCTTCATATTTTATTTCAGATATGGCTGTATTGTGACATTTGAAGTGTAACAAACATAAGTGCATGAGGAAATTGTCCATAATATTAACAATTAAAAAAATAAAATACTATGACTAAAATAAAATGCTAAGCTATCTATTTTCATATCATTTGTCTTTTTCATTCATGTGCACCAACATCTTAAGCTTATTTACTTGTCAGGACATATGTAAAATATGTGAAAATAAATATGAAAAAAAATAGAAATTTTATTTAATGACACAACAGTTAAATCTACAGAGACTTTGTTTTTGTTAAACAGGAAATGACATCATGTTTTTTAAATCTCTTGTTTTATAAGCTTTAAACATGAGGAATAATATTAGTAATAATAATGCTAATGACACAGTAAAATAATAAAATAATTTTGTCACACATAAAAAAAAATAATAATAAAATCATGAATACTCAAACCTACATTGTCCAGCTCCAGTACCTAGTATCTTATTCACTCAGCTGTTGCTGTTCTGGGATGTGAAACTTCCAAAGACTTTTAAGCTAAAAACTAAATTTTTAGAAGCCCAATTTTTGGAAACACTTGAGAAGTGGATCCTATTATTTGGACAACAAGCTGCTTGTGTTTAATGCTATGTACTCACTAAATTTCCTTCTAGAGATCCAAATGTCTGACTCTCTCCTTGTTAGCAATAGGAATCATTTTTGAATAATTCCTAATAATATATTTGATCACAATGTTTAAATAGTATTTCACAGGTTGTGTTATGTCAAAATTTTTGTTTTTGTTTACTGAAAAAAGATCAAAATTAAAAAAAAAGTCATCCCAGAAAATTCCACAAATTTTCTGTCAGTCAATAAAAAAATAATCTGGAAATGCTGGGTGGCATTGCACAAAACTTCCTTTGGTTCTCAATGTCACTTCCTACTTTTCTGCCCAAAACTTGCCATTTGACATCATAAAATTGCTAGGTGTGTGAGACACAGGACACCTATTGTATGGAAGCTCAACATCTTGCTGTTTTTCCTAAAGTGTGATTTGTGATTCAATTTCATGCTAAATGTTGAAGCAAATTGACTAAGGTTTTTATCGCCACTTGCTATCACCAGTATTATATTTTTAATAAATTTATGATTAATTCTATTTGATAATTTTCTAGAAGTGGCATCAATATAACCAATAGAACATAAAGCATTGGAATGCGTTAAAATTAAAGTGTACTGTATTAATATAGTTTAAAAATTATACATAAAAAAATTTTAAAATAAAACAACCTAAAAGAATGCTTATAAATATAAAATTAAAACAAACTGTAAAATAAATGAATACCTTAAAGATTTTCCATCAGATTTGCAATGATGTTTCACAGCTCCAAAATTGTATCTAATTGATTCATTTATTGCTTTTGAATCACTAAAATTCAAACTTATAACATTATCCAAAGAATTGGAAATAACAATATCATCTATTGCCCACACATCGTTTCCATCTCCAGAATGATAAGGTTGCCAAAAAAGAAAATAACAAGAATTTTTTCGAGCAAATTCAGGCAAAGGAAATGATAAATGCCTATAAATAAATTAATAATACTATTAATTTATAAGAACTAAAGATAAAATTATATATATTTACAAAATTATTTTATTTTAAAATTAATAAAGACTATCTGATAATTTAAATACAGTTTAGTTTTAATTTCAAAAAAATTTCAGAATTATTTAATTTTTCCAGAAATTTTGGTTAGTAAAACAGACCATGTATATTTTCTTATTATAAATATTAGAAATATTTTCCTATTTTTATTTTCAATTAAAAATAATAAACAAATTGATCCAAAAAATATAATAATAAAACAAGTTTTAATATACAATATAATATTTTTATAAAGTTTCGTGCTTTTGATCTGGAATAATTCTGTTAATGTAATCCAGATTGGCCAATTTCATAGACTTATCACTTCTTGTAGGGTAATTAACAAAAGGGAATCAGAGACCAGTAGGTATACACTTTATTGATATCAGAAATACATTTTGGACACATGGTCCCTCATCAATCCAATCAGGGTAAAAGATTCCATGATGATCTTGATAAATAAGTTATGAATATATTGTTGGAAAATTCTCTAAGTTAGCCTTCCCCTGATGATTGGATTGATGAAGAACAATATATCCAAAATGCATTTTTGATATCAATAAAGCATGCATATACCTTTGTACTTGGTCTCTAATTCTCTTATGGTGATTACCCTACAAGATGTGACTAGTTTGTGAAATTGTCCAATCCTGGGCTACAGTAACAAAAGTAAAAATATATAAATATATATATATATATATATATATACAGTAGAGCGTCGTTTATCCAAAAGCCAGTTATCTGAAATGTCAGTTAACCGAAAGCATTCCAGTCGGCAAATTTAAATTTTCGCTAGTGCTGTGGCACTGCAATCTTTGGCTATATCTTGGGCTACTCCAGTATTTTTTTTGTTGCTGTGTGTATTTTAGCTGGCAGCACTGGTACTTTTGTGTGATGTTTTTCTGAGGACTGTGTGTCGTGCTGAATCAAATGTTTTTGATACTAGATCAACTTCTAAACTATATATTTTTTTTGTTTTTGTATTTTTCAATATATTTATTTTGTTTATAAAAACTAAAAAAATAATTTTTAATGATACAATAGCCACGATTATTATTTTTATAAGTTTACATTAGGCTTAACATCGACGAAAATTCAACGCGAAGCGACACACAATGGAGAAAAATTTCAACATGGGATAGGTTAATATATTTTTTCGTACATAATCGGTTATCCGAAAAATAAGTTATCCGAATAACCTCAGTCCCNTTCAATATATTTATTTTGTTTATAAAAACTAAAAAAATAATTTTTAATGATACAATAGCCACGATTATTATTTTTATAAGTTTACATTAGGCTTAACATCGACGAAAATTCAACGCGAAGCGACACACAATGGAGAAAAATTTCAACATGGGATAGGTTAATATATTTTTTCGTACATAATCGGTTATCCGAAAAATAAGTTATCCGAATAACCTCAGTCCCCAATTGATTCAGATAAATGACTCTCAACTGTAATATTTATCTACATTCCATAAACTTCTTATTTACTTAATCAAAAAAAAAACTAGATATTTATATAATATTAATTATTCAAGCCATAGCAGTAATTCACATCAAATTTATAAGTAATTACAAGGTAATTATTTAAGGTAATTAGAAGTAAATTTAAAAGAATATAAATAAAGTATCAGATGTGAGATCCATGAGTTTTGGGGGGTTGTTTTAACCCATTTTATTAAAATAATTCTATGTAAACATCCACTGATAGAAAAACTATCGAATAGTTTTGGATTGGATGTCACCCCGATTGGCAGTAATCAGATGGGAAAGTTGACACATAGGTGTCAGAAAAATGCATTGTCATCGTCAACATGGGTGAGCACATGACATCTTTCCATGACAAGTGAATAAAAGCTTGAACCCTCGGAAGTTCAGGGTGATCAAACTGGAAGTTATACTTGGTAACTGTGTGCAATCCGTCTCCCGGACCTCCATACAACAGACCTGATCCAATGAGAGGACAGGGCACCGGTTGGAAGACAGATCACGGCTTCGGACTTCCATGCAGTTTGCCATATCAACAAGGACTATGATTCCTATGAAATTATCAATGCATACTGTTCATTTCCTCATAGAGGTATTTTTGTTAGCAATTAGTGAACTCTCTCCCCTGCAATGAGAATAGGCTTAGCTAAGAGCTGCCATTTTGTATATTTAGTATTTAATCGCATCTAACCTCCTGCATGTTAACCTTAGATCTTAATAAATGCTTTGTTTAATTGTTAAACCTGTCTCCTGTCTATCCAAGGACACCTGTTGACTTGCTCATGACCTTCTCCAGTCGAGTTTGCCCTCCTTTAGCCATCCGACAACACAGAGATCGGGCTTTACCAGCCCATGCAAAGTAAGTGGTCATTAGAGATTGACCCAGTGGTCCCCTGATTATCTTACATAACTTGTACAAAACCAGGACTTGTAAAAAAACATTTTAACTTTTAGCAAGTTTCCAAGAAAATTTGCTGTTTGTTTATATAAAATATATTTCAATAATCAAAAATTTTTGATTATTCTATCCCGGTGTAGTGCAGTGCCGATTTAATTATATTTCAATAATGGATAAAACACAAAATTCTTAAAATAAACTTAAAAATCCACTTTATTTAGTTCACTAATACTTAATATAAATCAGTGATTGCCAACAAATTTTCAAGTTCATTAAAAATATATATGGCTTCTAAATTTCAAAAACTTGAATTGTCACACGTCTACACTTTTGAAGTTGTTTATATTCAAATCTATTCATCTTCAATGTTTGAGAATATTTTCTGCTCTTTTATTCGTTAATACTGAAGATTTATGGGGGCGTTTTTTTCAACCTCCAATGATCCATAAAAAAAAGACAAGTGTAAATAACAAAATGAATTTATTACCAAAAGTTAGGTACAAACATGGTTACTGTTTGACATAACCACCATGAAGATTGAGACATTTGTCATATCTATGGATGAGCTTTGAAATCCTCTCTTCATAAAATGTTACTGCCAGTGAATTGAGATGGCCTTAACAATGTTTTGAAGATTGTCATTAGTCTCAAACCTCTGCCCTCCTAGCCACATTTTCAGTTTAGGAAAGAGGTGGAATTCTTCACACATTAAAAAGTTCCAAGCTGGGTGGAAGTTTTTACCACCTTTAAATACTCAGTGTATAGCCCTGATTTAGCACCAAGCGACTTCGACCTCTTTCCTAAACAGAAAAAATTTCAGGCAGAGTTCGGGAATAATGATGATCTTCAAAATAATGTTAGGGCCCATCTCAAGTTATTGGTGGCAATATTCTATGACAAGGGGATGGAAAAGCTCGTCCACAGATATGACAAATGCCTCAATCTTCATGGTGGTTATGTCGAATAGTAACCATGTTTGTACCTAACTTTCGGTAATAAATTTATTTTGTTACTTACACTTGTCTTTTTCTTATGGACCATCAGAGGTTGAAAAAAAACAGCCTATGTAATAAGAAAAACTTAGTTTCAAATAGTGGTGTGCCGTCATTGGAAGCAGTGGATGCACCACTTCCCTTGTATTTTCTAAAAAATAAATATATATTAATTTTAATTATATGAAAATAATCGCACAATATTTTATTATAACTGCATTATATATCTTATTACAAATTTCTATACTACACGTGAAAAAAAATAAGATTTCTATTGTATATTCAAATACTAGTGGTGGAGTGGAAGCGCTGTATTGTCAGCATCCAAAAAGCCAGATTTGCGCATGCACTTTACAGAGCACCAACCTCACCCAGTTTAGCTGGTGGAAGCCTAGGACCTTGGGTGGATGCTACACGTATACCGCATCCAATTCTATCCAGGGCTGGTTCTGGGCTGTTAGCCGCATGCCTGCTAGATATTTGGCTGCCCTCGCCCAATTACATGAATGAGTAGATTTATAACTTAACCCAACCGATAAGAATTTACTGGTATGTTTTTATGATAGTTCTTTATAGTCGACAGGAGTTTAAAAAAATCCATTAAAACATTTGATATTTTTATTCCGCTCGACGATTTTATATTATTCATGGATTTCAATGTTAAACCAATGATATTACAATTTCATATATCCCATCTTTAAGGGAATGTAGAAAAAAAACGTGTACAATTCTTGTATAATGTTAAAAATTAACTGTTACTTTGACAGCATCATTTACAACTAAATTTAATGAATGAGAGAGATGCATGAGGTACAGAAAAAGCTCTAGAATTTATTTTCCTTACATTTACGATTTATGTATCCGTTTGTCATAAAAATTTGTCTTTCCAATTTTTTCCAAGACTACAAATATTTGAGTACAAAGTAACTGGTTTCGACTTATTTCTACTTAAGAAGTTGTGAGGGTCAGAAAGTTCATGTTATAAACTTTAAATTTTTTATAAATTTTAATTCAACTTTAAATGCAACTTTATAAAGACAGAATGAGTTATAAAAGGATTAAAAGAGAAAAGGGAAACATAAAATCAATAAAATCTGGTTAAACCTCGATTCCCATGAGTTGGGTTCCTTGTTGAGATGAATACATCTCTGTGTCACACGTCACCTCATTGGTCCAAGGAGATCGTCATCCCTGACGAAATCGGGGAAAGACCCGAAAAGAGGACTTCATATAAAAAGGACGGGTATGATGAGTAAGGGGGTGGAAGTTATTATTTGAGTGTGTGTGTGTGTGTGTGTGTGTGTGCGCCATGCCGAGATTTTCTTCGAGAGACTGTTCCTGTTCGTCAACCAACACCTCCTCCTCCCCTACTGAACGCAAAGATATCAACAATTCACCTATTTAACTTCGAAGAGAACTGTGGGACTTTATTGCTGTTACTCAAACAACAGAATAATATAAGGTATTTACATGCCCACACACTATTGTACTCTCTCTCTCTCCACGTAAACTAATTGTGAACTCGATTGTAACTAGAAACCGGAAATGATCTAATGAGATCAATGCTGAACGCAATTCACGTAACATATATGTAGCCAATACTAACTTTGTAACTTAAATTCTGACGTATAACTAACGTAGATTTAATATAAATAAACGGTTATTTATGTTTAAACATCTTTGAATGCAGTTTCTTCCGTTCTTCTCTCCGTTCACTCCATTCCAGGCCCAAACTCATATGTAACTGCTCATGCGAACTTGTGATCTCTGTATTGACCTAAGGATACAGTGGTGTCATCCTGACGTGGTATCAAAGAGATACCAACCCAACGGTCACAAAGTAGTTAAATAATTAAGTGATTAGGGAATTAGGGACATAAACAAAACCCTGATGAAAGAGCCAAAATTTTACTTAAATAAAAGCTTAACCTAACCATCTCTAGCCGAGTACAGTGGAGACTGATTTCTTCGTATTATTAATGTAATAAAGACAGAAATTTTTCCAGTTCAATGAGTAACCGAAAAGTTGTAAATTTTGGAAATTTCCATGGACATCTGGTTCTAAAACAAATTAGTTAGAAAACAAATGACTTTTATGTTTAACATATTTAGATTTTTACAGCTATGGTGAGAAATGTTTAAAATCTACAACAGCCCCGTTGCGTCCTTTGAGATATACTAGTGATGCGACAAAAGAGGTATTTGACATTGACCGGTATTGGCACCCTTGGGATTTGGCAGTCCGCGTGTATGCACGCTCTGCAACTGTCTTCGATTCCATCCATTAGCCACTTGTAGGGAGCTATTTGACTAAGTGCATTGTTTTAAGATTTAAAAAGTAAAGAATATTTTATATTTTTATGTACGGTTTTTTACAAAGCTATATTTAATTATAATTTTCTTTAAAAGTATATTCATACAATTGAAGAATATTTTGTACCAGGTATGTACCGGTACATCCACCACACATTTTATTTCACCAAGTATAAGTTTTTATTATTTTATTTTTAATTGTAGCCCTTATATTGTGGCTAGCAATTCGGAATGTAATTGTGATATTAAAAATAAATTTAGAAAAGTCTATGGTTTTTACTGGCTTATCAAATAAATGATACAAATGGACCCTAGACCATCACTGACGTGCAATTGACTGATTGCCCCTGGATGTCGGCTTCTTACAGAAACACAGCTTCCCTATCATCAAATGTCATGGCAAGCCACTGATTTCAAAAAATATTTTATCTTATTAAATTGAATTTTCAGACTTNATAAAATCAATAAAATCTGGTTAAACCTCGATTCCCATGAGTTGGGTTCCTTGTTGAGATGAATACATCTCTGTGTCACACGTCACCTCATTGGTCCAAGGAGATCGTCATCCCTGACGAAATCGGGGAAAGACCCGAAAAGAGGACTTCATATAAAAAGGACGGGTATGATGAGTAAGGGGGTGGAAGTTATTATTTGAGTGTGTGTGTGTGTGTGTGTGTGTGTGCGCCATGCCGAGATTTTCTTCGAGAGACTGTTCCTGTTCGTCAACCAACACCTCCTCCTCCCCTACTGAACGCAAAGATATCAACAATTCACCTATTTAACTTCGAAGAGAACTGTGGGACTTTATTGCTGTTACTCAAACAACAGAATAATATAAGGTATTTACATGCCCACACACTATTGTACTCTCTCTCTCTCCACGTAAACTAATTGTGAACTCGATTGTAACTAGAAACCGGAAATGATCTAATGAGATCAATGCTGAACGCAATTCACGTAACATATATGTAGCCAATACTAACTTTGTAACTTAAATTCTGACGTATAACTAACGTAGATTTAATATAAATAAACGGTTATTTATGTTTAAACATCTTTGAATGCAGTTTCTTCCGTTCTTCTCTCCGTTCACTCCATTCCAGGCCCAAACTCATATGTAACTGCTCATGCGAACTTGTGATCTCTGTATTGACCTAAGGATACAGTGGTGTCATCCTGACGTGGTATCAAAGAGATACCAACCCAACGGTCACAAAGTAGTTAAATAATTAAGTGATTAGGGAATTAGGGACATAAACAAAACCCTGATGAAAGAGCCAAAATTTTACTTAAATAAAAGCTTAACCTAACCATCTCTAGCCGAGTACAGTGGAGACTGATTTCTTCGTATTATTAATGTAATAAAGACAGAAATTTTTCCAGTTCAATGAGTAACCGAAAAGTTGTAAATTTTGGAAATTTCCATGGACATCTGGTTCTAAAACAAATTAGTTAGAAAACAAATGACTTTTATGTTTAACATATTTAGATTTTTACAGCTATGGTGAGAAATGTTTAAAATCTACAACAGCCCCGTCGCGTCCTTTGAGATATACTAGTGATGCGACAAAAGAGGTATTTGACATTGACCGGTATTGGCACCCTTGGGATTTGGCAGTCCGCGTGTATGCACGCTCTGCAACCGGCATCGATTCCATCCATTAGCCACTTGTAGGGAGCTATTTGACTAAGTGCATTGTTTTAAGATTTAAAAAGTAAAGAATATTTTATATTTTTATGTACATTTCTTTACAAAGCTATATTTAATTATAATTTTCTTTAAAAGTATATTCATACAATTGAAGAATATTTTGTACCAGGTATGTACCGGTACATCCACCACACATTTTATTTCACCAAGTATAAGTTTTTATTATTTTATTTTTAATTGTAGCCCTTATATTGTGGCTAGCAATTCGGAATGTAATTGTGATATTAAAAATAAATTTAGAAAAGTCTATGGTTTTTACTGGCTTATCAAATAAATGATACAAATGGACCCTAGACCATCACTGACGTGCAATTGACTGATTGCCCCTGGATGTCGGCTTCTTACAGAAACACAGCTTCCCTATCATCAAATGTCATGGCAAGCCACTGATTTCAAAAAATATTTTATCTTATTAAATTGAATTTTCAGACTTCTTGAACTTTTCATGTATTATTATCTATAAAATAGCATTTAAACTTGGCACAATATTCAAAAAGATGAGAAAAAATGATTAATTCCGGAAACCAAATTAAATTTTATTCAAAAGTGTTTTTTTCTTTTACAAGCTCTTCATCAGCTTGATTCTTACAAAAAATCATCATCAACCTAATGCATTTAATAATTTTCAGAGCTGGTGATGTTCTTATAAAAAACGAAAATGTAAGCATTTTAAATTGGTCTTGCAGATAAGTGAGCTTTCTATTATAAACGTTTTATGTTCACATCTAAGACCTTCCTTGGGTATTTTATTTTAAAAATCAAATCTTTCTGATAACAATATTTTAGATAGAATGTGTAAAAGATTCTCTTGTGTTCAAATTCAAAATTTTTTAACCATCCAATAGGGTGTGCTTATTTATAGTCTATATGTTGCTCCTACAATAATGAATCGAATATGGCCTGTCATGAATAGGAGATTTAATCCATCTTTGAATTTGATTCATGGAGACAACATGTAGCTTATAAATAAACACACATCCTTGAATGCTTAAAAAAATTTAAATGTGAACACATTGGAAAATCTACACATTCTATTCTAGAATATTATTACCAGGAAAATTTGATTTTCAAAGAGGATCTTAAAAGTAGACCAAAAATGTTCATAACAGAAATCGCACATCTTCAAGACCAATTTAATCTTTATTTGTTCATTTTCACTTCTCGCCTTGTTATTAGAAGATTAATTTATTTGAACAAAAATGTTTATAAACAAAATTAAATTTGGTTTCTAGAATTAAACATTTTTTGTATCATTACAGATTTAATGGACTTCAGATTTAACAGACAAAATTTCTGGTCTGCATGTTATATGTGCAAATTAGCACCCTATTAACTTTAAAATGTTTTTCTATATGTAATTAATTAAATTAACAAGTGTTTTTTTCAAATCCAAGAGTCACCACTCTTAACGTCATGCCACAAAGGAGTGTCTCAATATATCATTATCCACAGATAAATAAATAGGAAACTTTTTGTCTTTTTGCAAAATTTAAATTCTGTTTTATTCTTAAGAACATTATTTATCTGTTTAGTTAAATACAAATAAATTATATTTTCCAAAAAATGTCTATTTATTTATTTAAATTTAGATTGTATACTTGTTTATTACAATCTCAGAACCATGGTGAGTACATAAGCAATGATACATATAGAAAACTTTTCATACATAATTTTAATTATATAAACATATCTACATAAGTAAAAATAGACAAACTAACTACTACTTTGTCAATTTTTTACATTGTGCATTTAAAAAACCTATTTTATTAAAACTTATAATGAATTTTAAGTTTTAACAGGCACAATCACCCAAATTAATCCATTAAATCAAGTTTTTATTGTATCTGTTTATTCTGTTATAATGTTATTGTTATTTCTGTTACATGTATTCTGAAGTTGTTTGTGACAAGAAAATTAAGTAAGATAAATTCTAAAAATTAAATTACATAATTTTTAAAATTCAAACCTTGGCTCCTGAAATTTAGCAAAATCTAATACTTCTATTAGATCCCATGTGAGTTTTCCATTACAGGAAGAATGAATATAAATTGCTTCTGCGGGATTATTTGGAGTAGAACAAACACTGCTGAATGATGGGCTTCCTACACGAATGGTAAATTGCAAAAACCTAGAAAATAAAATTAAACTGTAAATAAAGTAAAACAGAATAATATTTTTTAATTTCTGAACAATAGTTGTTTTATGATCATGTAAACAAAGAGAAAAATTTACTAACAATTTATGTTGCTATAAATTTGCTGCATGATTACAAAAGAAAATGAAGAAATTAAGGAAAATTCAAATCATGCTAAAAACTGTCTATTACTTTGTTCTGAAAAATCAGATTCAGTTTTTTCTAATAAAATTATCAAATGACAAATTTATTTTATTAGTTTAATTTCAATTTCAAAGTGAAATTTTATATACAAATATAAAATAAAACATGTCAAATGTTTGTAATCATTATCTATAAAGACTGGTATCAATTTTTATTTTATATAGTCAGTTTAATATATATAGTCAAACTTCAATTTGGCACCATTCTTTGTTTTCTTCTCAAATTGACTCTAAATCGACTGTGGTGCTAAAATGAAAGACTTCAAACAATGTAACAATATGATATATCACATTAATTAATCATAATTTATTCATGAAAATGTCATTTACAATGCAAAATTGTACATTTTAGTAATTCAGAAACTGAAGGATTCTCACCATAAAAATCTCTAGAGAAAAAAAGCAAGCATCATGTTTAATTAATGCAAATGTTTTTGATCACTTTAAATGATCATCATCAGGCAACTGAAAATTGAATACAACAAAATAGAATGTATAAAATTATGAAATAATGAATAATATTCAAAATTTTAAAATCATAAAATATTTCTTTAAAATTGGATACATATTAAGAATTTAAATAATGGATCCAAAATTTTTATACTTTTAGTGAAAACCTTGTAGCATTTTCACTACTATTGCTTTACTTTCGTCACTGTGCATGATAAAAATGAATGAGATGAGATCGTAACAAAACTGAGTTTATTATCTTCCTCATTTATATGGTACATGTCTCGACGATGTGGCTAACAAAAGAATAACTGCTAATGGTCTTACTGGGTGAGTTTGAACTTGTTCCAGGAAGTGATAACTCTTACCACTCAGGATTTGTTGCTTGTTTTTCACAATGGTTGAGATATGAAGGGTGGTATTCATCACAACCTCTTCTCTTCACATTTTGAATGCAATTAAGAGACCATTTCTTGTGAAATACAGCACTCCTCTAACAACTTTCAATGCAGATTTCTGGATAATCATCCAGCAATACAAACCATAAAATACCATTAAAAAAAAAAATCGAATAATGTGTGACCTGCTGAAGAATTCTAAATACTGCCAGGACCCAAGTTCTAGATATGGAATTTACAGAATCCAGGTCATTAATATCCTCTTCTCTAAGGAGTTGTCATGTATAAGTTGCATACTCATGTCCCTCCAAAACAAAACAAAAAAAAAATACAGGAACACACAATTTTTGCAGAGGAGATTTATGTATATAACATACATATCTATCTAGATTCACCAGTGTAAATGATATACAGATTTTTTGAGACAAAGCCAAGCTTTTAAAACACCTTACCAACTCCAAGTTTTCCAAATGAGCAAAATCTACAGAATCACATTTTGAAGAGCTCTTGTATTAACTATAAAAGCATTTCTTCTATTTCTAATGCCTGGAAATGGACATTAAACTCTAAAATATAAAGAATTTGGATCCATTATTTACATTGTTTATATGTATCTGATTTTAAAGTTGTTTCATTTTATTATTTTTGTTGTTTAAATTTAAATATTGTTCTTCATTTTGTAATTTTATATGTTCTATTTTGTTGTATTAACCTCATATGTTAATGTTAATTTTTTTAATAACAACAATGCCTAATGTAACAAATTAGAAACAGACTATTTCAATGTAAAGTAACAGATTTTTTTATTTTTATTTTTATAATTAATGTCCATTATGAAGGATGTTCTTTGTTAGTACAAAATTCAATGTTTTAGATAGAGTATCTAAAGCTATTTGAATTAATTAATACATTGAATTAATTTTTTTGGTGCTTGTTTATATACTTCATACAGTTCAAGATACCTTGCCAGCTCCATCATGTTTCTAATTTCCTGGTCTATGAATGCTCTATATGAAAAATCAGAGTATCAAAGTGATGTGATACTGCACCATTCTAATATTCTTTCAATCTTGTAATTTTATTCTATTATTGGCTTCTATATAGCATATTACAGACTTTTATTTCTATACAAATTTATATAATTCTATACAAGAAATCTATAGAAATTCTATACAAGTTTAATAAATATCTGAAAATGCTATTTATGTTATTTCAAAGTGCTATTTACAGACATCACATTTAAAAATTATTTACAAAAAGCATAAAAAGAAACAAAGTTTCAATAAACATATTTTAGAAGTTTATATAAATTTAGGTTTGTAAAATAAGATAAAAACTATTTGATTCCTTCAAATAAAAAATAGACTCAGATGTCCAATGCAAATATGTGATTTATTATATAAGTAAGGATTTACAGACACAGTGCACTCACCACAGAGTCCAAAGAATCTAAAAATAGTTTCCTCCATCATTTTGTTAATGGTGCCAACAGTGTGTAAGTTTTGTGATGCCTGCAGTAAAGAAGATGGAACCATGGAGATGTTCCTGCAGTATAGTTTTTCTACTTGAATGTTGCAGTTTGTATGATGACATGCATTTTTCCAGGTCTGGGAAGGTCTGCCATCTCCAAACATTCACTCCCAAACTTCTTGCACCATTTCAACTTGACACTCCACTTGAAACTTCTATGCCATATACATTCTACATGTGCTACAAAATGCCTACAGACTCTGTACCTTCCTTGTTTAGGAACCAGATTACAGTCCTTTGAATGTGCTTTAATCTATCCATGAACAGCCTAACTTCATGTTCCTTGCTCCTGCTCATTTCACACATCTCAAACAATACTGAACAATTAGACTGACTCACTCAATTACAGATAAGCTCTGTCCATCTGTTCAGTGGCACCCTACTCTCCCTCAAATCATCAGTCTATGTTTCATTTGAAGGAATCATAAATAGGAAAAAAAATTATTTTGTATTTGTGATCAAGAATCTAAGGATAGTCAATTAAACCAAAATAGTTTTAATACTGTATCTTAATATATTTACAGTAATAAAATATTGATTCTTTCATTTTTCAAAATAATATGGAAACTATATATCAGGGGTGGCCAACCTGCGGCTCTTTGAAGGATTATTTGTGGCTCTCGATAGATGTACCTGAGTTCCCTTTTCATTTTTGTGTTATTATATTTTTAAAAATTATTATCATTCCGTATGTGTTTCAAAATGTCTTTTAAATTACTAACAACAAATATAAAAGACTAAGTGCAACGTTGTAACAAATTTCATTTCCGTCCAAGTTAAGAATGATATGACTCATCAAAAACTGCGCGAACGAACATAAACAGTGGTGTAATCATCCGACTCCAGACCGATTTTGAATTTGTAAACTGTCATTGCAACGGACAGTTGACATTGTGCTCTGGAGGAAACAATTTGTATCACTCTTGCTACGGATACAATTTGTATTCTGGAATTTTTTGCATACCTTTTTAATACGTATTTAATTGCGGCTCGCGAAAAATTTTAAATTTTGAAAAATGGCTTGGACTATCAAGGAGCTTGGCCACCCTGGCTATATATGAAGACAGGATTTGCAATTTACAAATGTTTGAAATATACAATTGTAAAATATACAATAAAAACATTTTTAAAAAATTGCATTATATTTTTATAAACAAATCTATTACACTTTTTAAAATTTATGATTCAAAATTAGGTACAGCAAAGTTATCCTTTTATTTGTGAACTAGCTGTGCCCGCAATTTTGCCTGCGTGAAATTCAGTTTGTGATTATAACAGTATCAGTTATATGATATCTTTTAATTTATATGAATATTTTAGGAAAACACATAGGACAAAAGATAATCATTATTTTAAGCGACAACAAATAGGCAAATGTTCAGCACAAGTTCAGACATGTGCACTGTGTATCTCTCTGACCACGTGACTGTGCCGCATGGTTACCTATCTCGTATACATACGCGTCTTGCCCCTCACCATCCATTGACACCAAAAATATAATGCTTACCTAGATGATATCTTTTAATTTATATGAATGTTTAATGGAATAATATATAGCCTATGTCCACCCTGAAGGTCCATTCTAAATATTGGTGAAAAAATTTTTGAAATCAGACAAGTAGTTTCAGAGATTACCTCCTACATCCAAACTTACAAACTCCTGTTTATAATATTAGTATAGACTATACTTCAGTATAAATCTATGTATATTCTGTCTAAAGACCTTGTTTATTTAATAGAACTTATTGTGGTTGTTTGTAACAAGATATTTGTAAGTCCATGAATAAACGTTACAAATAGGAACACAGGAACAAAAATGTGTATATTTGAATATTCCTTTAATGCTCTTTGAACACAGTTCTTTTTTCTTGTTTTGTTACAAAGATCCCAACTTAATGGGTTTCTTTATCCTATTATCCTCACAGGGAAATAGGTTGCTTCCTATTATCGTACAAGTATATAATATACGCATGCGTAACACAAAACCTTGATAACCGACTTAAAAACTAATCTTATGGATAACTTAAAACTAAACTTCTTTACCACCACACTGGAGAATAATAATATAACTCTTTCTAACCTGTTACCGGTGCGTCTACTATGTCGTAACGAACCAAAAACGAACCAAAACTAACGTTTTCGAACCCTTATAACGGTTCTTCTTCAGGCTTTTTCGAATCTCTGATGGAAAATGCAGCTCATAAAAAACTTAAAATTCGAAATACTTATGTTCGAATGCACGTTTCCCGTTTCCGTCGTTGTATGTCATGCGCAGTCGACTCCAAAATGAATATCATAAATTACCATTCATAAACGCTAGCCACGCTGTTGATAACATAATCTCTTCTTTATAATTGATGCATTGATTATCCTTAAGGTTAGCTAAGTATATGCTGGCTGCCTCTAGCCATCTGATATGGTGTACTTGCCGTGCAGTGCGGATTATTCTGGCTTTCTTAAATTCGGGGTCTATATCCGGATCGGAGGCATATACTGCTAGAGCTGTCATGCTCCCTTGTTTCCAAATATCCGCCGCGTGTTCTTTGAGTCTAACCTCTAAGAATCGTTTGGTGGAGCCCACATATAGAAGGTTTCTATCACATTAGCGATCTATAATCGGTATGCTGTAGACCCCTGACAGCCTATCTTTATCAGGTTGATCTTTTCCATTGGTTAGTATGTTGAATATCGAAGTGCACCTTTTGTAGGCTATACGTATGTGGTTCTTTCTAGCTATTTCTCCATATAGCCGTCTAATATATGGATTATAATTGACTGGAACGATCTTATCCATATCTTGTCGCTCTTCTCTTTGCGGTAGGTCTTGATTTGCGTTTTGATATTCATGCAATAACTTGCGTACGAGCTTGCTGTATCCGTGTTCAGCGGCTATTCGTTGTGTAAGTCTTAGCTCTGCTTGTAGGGCTCGCTCAGTGGAAGAGTGTGTGTGTGCTCTCTTAATTAGGGCCTTAAATGGTGCCATTTTATATTGCGGTGGGTCACATGACCCTACTGGTATGTATATGCCTTTTGTTCCTAACTTACAGTACTGAGATTCGAAAAAGCCTGAAGAAGAACCGTTTTAAGGGTTCGAAAACGTTAGTTTTGGTTCGTTATGACGTAGTAGACGCACCGGTAACAGGTTAAAAAGAGTTATATTAACTTAAAACTAATATAACAGGGAAACGATTAGACTTAGGAAAGTGTAGAAAGTATAAAGAGATAGATAGAGATACCCGGGTCTACGTTAATTGATTGATATCTTCGGGGAGGTGCCCTTTCACAGACATGATCTTTTATTCTTCTTTACTGATTCAGCAATTTGTTCTTGAGGTTCTCCAATTCTTTCAGTTTTCCTTAGTCCCTTGTGCTTCTTCCTCTCTAGCCTCAACAGTCCTCTCTTATACCTGCCGTCTTCTTCCCACTTCTCTCTTTTTGAGCTTCACTCACTACACTGTACAAAAAGTGTTCTCCTCTCTCCTTTCTTCTCACCTCAGAATATATTTTCTTTTGTTTATTTCCCCAAATTCGGAGAAGCACTAATACCTTACTCCTTTGTTTCACCCTTCGTTCTGAGAAGGGGTAAGCCCCCCTCAAGTAGTAATGGTTGATATGGAAAGTTCTCGAAGACCATAGAAAGAAAGTAGAAGAATAGAAATAAAATAAGGAATTATGAACTATATACAAACTACAATATGGCTGACGGACACATTATTATACTGGTATAGTTTCTAATTAACAAACAGAGGAAAATTTAGTCAAAAAATCAAAATAAAGATATTTTGTTTTGATTTTTCAAAACAAAACATCATTATTTTCACCTTAGAAATGGATTATAATGAAGTATAATTCAGTTCCAAGTTCCTATATATTTACATAAAATTCTATTATTTTTGCTGTTTCAACAATTTTATTTTATTGTGTAAACAAATTGTTTATTTTATACATGTTACAAGTTGATGTATTGAAAGTATTTATTGTATGACACTTTGTATTATTCACATCAGTTGAACACAAATAGGTTGTACAAGGTACTGAATACAAATAAAAGCCTCTGTTAAGTTAAATGATAAAAATATGTTTATATAAAAAAATAACACGAGACTTATTAAAACATTATTCTGCTCTGTCTTTTAATTCTATTTAAGAGCTTGATAATTAGAAAAATTTATTTTTATATTATAATTATAAATTTTTAAAACAATTATTTTTCTGAATGTTTAATTTTAAAAATGAAACATACCTACTCTGTGTTGTGTTAATATCTCTAGTCAATAACAGTCGTTGACCTGCTTTCTTAAATACTACTGCTTTTCCACTTCTTAAAATTCCACATTGATAACCTATTTCAGCCCCAGCTAACTATAATTTTTAATCAAATCATTAAAAATCATTTTAATTTTGACATTCCAGCTTTGACAATTTGACAATTAAAGATATTAAAATAATAAACTTTATTTTATAATTTTAATATCAAAAAGAATAAAATAATTTTAATTTCAATAAAAAATACTGTCTAATGTTAAAACTGATTTAATCAGATCAAACATTCATTATCAAATACTTTTTAATTAAACTGTTTATAATTTGCTTTTATTTCTTTATTAAAGTATTGAAATTTATTAAAGACTTATTACTTCAAAATTTCTTTAATAAAATCTAAAACCTGTGTATTGTCACATGCTAAATAAGTTTTTTCTATAAACATTCAACACCAGCCTTTCCATTTGTCCATTAATTGTTTGTTTAATTACATTTTTATTTTTTTAAACTCTCAATATTACTTCTTTAATAAATAATTAAAAAATATTTTCATAAATGCTAAAATCAGTGCCATAAGAAATTAATAGCAAGTGGCCCAAATGTGGATCTTAAATTACAAAATTGTGTAAATGCCTTTCTTATTCCATCAAATGATTGATTCAATTGGATTTTCACTGGTTGAAGATCCTCTACTTCTTTTTCTAAAATTTTTTTAAACTATACTAAAAGATTTACATTCAAAAATAGTTGTTAACTTCTTTTTAAAGAAATTTAAGTCAGTATATAAATATGCACATATTAAAATCAATCCTGCAATAGCATTCAAATTATATTATATTAGAAATTATTCTCATTATACAAGGTATAATCAAAAAGTTTGTGAACTTGGACCACAGATGCCACAGAATCAACATCAGATCTTTGCCATGGTGGAAGGCACTGTCAACTTCTTGCTGTAAATGTATAACCTCAGGGGGAGGAGAGTCACAAACTCCGCTGTGGGATTTGAGCTCTCCTAGTGAGGGCATATGTGGTTGTCCGCCATGTTTGTTTTGTATAATTTTATATAGAATAGGAACTCCTTTTTTCTTTCCTGTAATTCTTCTTCCTTCTGTCTTTAATCTTTTCCTGTTCACATGACAAGAACTTTACTGTTCATAGGTCCTGAGTGGGCCAGTGTACAAAGGGAAAGGAAGGATCCTACCCAAAGGGGACCTGGGGAAACCAGGAGTGGATGAGAGTCACTTTTCAGTTCGACACCAACGAGATAGGTCAGGTGAGAGAGACTGAGAGACAAACTACGAGGAGTCAGGCCTAAGAAGATAAAAGAAGAGAGAGACCACGTGCGGATGGTGACTCAAAACTAAGTAAGTGAGTCCTTCCGTACATGCTCAACGACCTGCCTCAGCACATATTTAATGGTAACTGTTTATTAATACCTTGGATGTCAACAGAATGGGTATTTACCATCCATGAAGCAACCATATTACCAAAATTACCCTATTATCAGGACCCACCGATCTAAGCTGCCGGTAGACCATCCTTCATCCTTTCTTTTCTCTTCTTAGTTGTAAGTAGTAATAGTATTAGGTTTAAGTTGAATTGTCATTGTCTTAGTTTTAAGCTGAATTGTATATAAATCAATTGTTGCGAAAAGTTCGATTAAGAGTGGAAACTTAGTACATATATATATACTTTTGTTCTCTGTAATGGGCAGTACGACCTCTGTTACCTCATTTCGATCAATAAAACACAATTGTAGTGTCCTATGAGCACCGAGGTTACTCTGGACAAAGAGTAGGGTAAAAGACTACTGTTACTCGAGGATTTTACACGAGACAAACGACATGTATCAATAATAAGAAAATATTTAATGAATGTCAATTACGATAAACTAGGGTTTATCACTACAAAATTTACATTAAAAAATTTAAAATGCTTGCGTCAATATTTAACTAGTCTTTGCGGACACAGAAATAGAAACATTTACTTTTTTTATACAAACACTTCACAGAAGTAATTCCTACGTTGAACTAATCTGTACGTCTCTTCAAAAAACTCCTGTTGTATTTCGGGGTCGTCTAAAAATTGGTATCATCCATGTGGCTCCGTCAATGCAGATGGATTCCACACGTGGTGAATCCCCGTCTTCCTTTGTTTCAGTCCACTAGTACTACTCGTCCACTCCAACGCACCTCAGCCCGTCCGTATCAGTCCTTGTCCGCCCAGAAAAAGGGTATCGTACACGTGGGATGGCAAATTTTATAAGTCGCGCCATCATGCACGTCACCACACAAGAACACAGCACAGCCAATCGAGACAACGGGGCTGTACCACCCAAGTAAAAGGTGGTTTCTCACAAAAAAAACGAAAGTTACAAATTACAAAAAAAAAACAGGTACGGAAAACAAACCTTGCACAAGAAGGGTATATAAATACAAGCGCCTATCCCAAGAACAATAGTGATGCAGCACTACACAATTGAGTGTTATTTGCATCGTCTTATTGTCACATGTTTCTCATCCTTTCACAGATGCTTTAATTTTGTAGCAATTCATTCATTAGTATTTGAGTAATAATCGATAAATGATTACATGATATTTGTAATTTTCAGTTTTTAAATGCATAATACAGTGGAACCTAGTTAACTTGAATCAGGATAACTTGAAGTCACATTTACTCAAATTCATTTTCTTTCTCTAATCAATCCAGCATAGAAATTTACATGTTAAATCAAACTAGTTAACTCACATTTGCTAAACTGTTTAACTTGAACAGGGTTTTGATATAGAATTTTTATAAACTCTTCAAAATTATAATTTTAATTTTCCATTACATATAACAATTAACATTCATCTATTGAATAAACTAATCAGAAACTTTCTACAAAGTGTACAAAGTGTAGGACTAAAAATAAATATCATGTAATGTGATGGCAGCAGAGACATATCATGTAATGTGATGGTGGCTTCCAGACAGCATGTATGACCTAAATACTGAGCTATTCAAACCAGCTTTCTTTCTAAAATTTTTTTGCTTCATTGATTGCTGATGAATTTTTGATATATTAATTTTAAAAAACAATTATAGTCTGACTCTATATAAAAATTTTAACATTTGTAACAAAATTTTAAAAATATAAGAATCATAAAGAGTGGTTGTTTTGTAAAAAAAATAAAAAATAGATTGATTTGTGAGAATCTGGACTTCAACGTAAACAATTTAACATCGTAACATCAACTTTGTCAACTATCTGTCAACTTTCACACTTGGGAGTATATCTCTTTTTAAGTTCTCAGCATCAATAAAGATGCTTTCACACGACCTTCTGACTTGCTGTCCTGATTTCATCATTTTAATATAATACCAAATGGGCAGTCAAAGAGTCATTGCCAGTCCCTCTAGAATTAAAGTTGTCAAAGTTTTCCTGTGTCAGTGCCAATCATACTCTATCCAGTGGCGTAGCGTGGGTGTTAGCCATCCGGGGCAAAGAAAAATTTTGCCATCCCCTTATTTAGGTATCTCAATTTAAAAGACTAAAATTCAGTTTCATCACAGAATAAGTAATGAAAAATTCCGTGCTAGTGTTGCTATATTTCTAAAATCACTGACTGAATGAATCGTACAAGTAAAAAAAAAAAAAAAGTCGACAGGTTGTGCACGATATCCCCAGGTAAAATAGGTAAAATTAATAGTTTAATAGTTGGGTGGTAACACTATTCCGTGCTCATTTCAGCTGGTCCGAATCGTAAGTTGTGACAAAAATATGAAATGAAATGGTTCAAATTTTTACAAGATATTATTATTTATTGTGAAATTTTGCCACCCCTAAAAAGTAATTTTGCCACCTGGGGCAAGCCACCTCCCACTATGCTACGCTACTGACTCTATCAGATTTTCATGTTACCCTCAACTCTGCCTAGAAGAACTTTCCTGGATCCAGAAGTTTCTTGATCCAGACCTATCCCAAATGATCCAAATCTGGATAATCTCAAGACTAGACCTCTGAGTCTTCACAAAATCCAAATCAAGAAACATCACCATTAACGCAAGTATTTCCCAACACATGAACAATTATAAACTCTCTCTCGTGTGACTGCTAGATATATAGGCTAAGTTGATACAACACAATATGTATTGTATATTGTATCTTGTATGCATTTTTGTTGAAATTAAACAGTTATTTAGTTGTTAATTTTAGTGTCTGAGTACTTTACTTCTGTTGAACTGTCTCTCAGTCTCCATACGGAACCTGATTGCTTATTTATGTGGCTGCTCACATGATCTACATTTTAACCCAAACTAAAATTGCTGTTGCAGCTCCTGTGTCAACTGAGACACAGTGCTGTCAGTCCTGACAAGGCATCAAAGAGGTGCTGACCCTCCGGTCACAGATTTTAGGTGCAAAATATCACAATTAAAAAAATCCTTACTAAATACCCAGAAGTGAACGAAGCAACCATTCAGGAAAGCATTTCCCAGCAGCTTATTTAACCACTCAATTAAGCATTTTTGAGTTTATGGAGAACATCAAGAGGTTAACATTGACACAATAATTATACTTAATAAGACCCACTGAAATATATTGTATGGATGGTTTATTATGGGGCATCAATAAACCAATGCACAAAACCTTGATTTTTAGCCAAACCTTCATAGCTCAAAATTTTTTAATTGAAGTCCAAAATTTTTCCCAACTGATTTGAGTTAACCAAGTTCCACTATATTAACTGATCAAATATCAAATGAAGATGTTCCAAGGCCAGAAAGACCATTGACATCCACCACAAACAAAAGTAAAGACAACATCATTGCCCAACTAGAAGTTAATCAATAAATCACTATATGAGAACTATACGAGAACTAGCATAGGACTTGAACATCTCATTTGATTCATGTCAATTGATGATGCACAATTGGGATACCATAGAGTAGCATCAAAGCTTGTTCTATACAATCTAATGATTGATCAAAAACCACACAGAAACAAATTGCACAAGAATGTCTTGAACAGTTAAAACAGACAGAATCTTTTCGAAATCAGTCGTGATGAGAGATGAAACATGAGTTTACTTTGTGATCCAGAAATGAAGCTGCAGTTGAATCAGTGAAAAAAAAAGCCACATCCAATAAAGCACACATGAGCCATTTGAATGTGAAGATAATTCTCATCATTTTCTTTAATTATCAAGGCATTGTACACTATGAATTTTTCCCCTATGGTATGACAGTTAATGCAATGTTTTATTGAATCATGTGACTTTTACATGAGAAGTTTGGTTGAATAGGCCAAATTTGTAGAAAAACAAAATATAGTTTCCTCACCATGATAATGTTAGGCAACACACCACTCTACTTATTCAAGAATTTTTGGTGTGTAATTCTTTTCCTGTGATTTCATAACTATCATATTCATCCAATTTCTCACTGGCTGACTTTTTTCTTTTTCTTTGCCTTAAGCACTAGAAAGCACTAAAGAGATGATATTTTGAGATACAAAAAAAAATATTAACAGAAGAGAAACTGAAAAAAGAGCTGAAATGAATTTCTGCATCTTCTTACCAGGCTATCTTTGACAATTGAAAAAACAATTTAAGCATTGTAAGCATTGTGAAGCATACTTTGAATGTAATGCCAGGTAAGCATTTTTAAGTTCAATTAAACATGATTTATATATATAAACATCCCAAAGCCCAATGTATTAATTAATACTAAATCAAATGGTTGCCATAATTAATTGGGCTATTTTTTACTACTATTAATAATTAGAAATTAAGTAATTTGATATTGAGGTAGATGTTAGGTACCATCTCTTATCAAAATCACCTCCAATACCAAATTACTTAATATCTAATTATTAATGGTAGTAAAAAATAGCCCAATTAATTATGGTGATCCAAACGATTGCTGTTTTGTTTAGTATAAACATGATTTATACCAAAAGTTCCTGAACTTTTTGATCATACCTTGTAAACTTAATTTAAATTAATGAATAAACAAATACATTAAAAAATAATATTGATGATAAATAATTCAATATATAAACAATATAAATAAAAGCTTTCCAATATTTATAAAAAAAAATAATTTATATTTATCTGAATTTTTATTTTTTTTTTAAATATCAAACATATTTAGAATAAAATTATATAATAAAAGTTGCATATCTCATATTTTAACTGTAAAACTGAATATTAAATAAGATTAAAACAATGACAATAATAATTTTGTCTAATATAAATTTAAAGATTTAATTAATTACAAAAAGTTTTTATATACAAACCTCTCTTATATTAGATGATTTTAAAGTTGAAGATGGAAACATTTCTGATAAGGCAGAAGGTGATGCTAGAGCAGCATCTTGACAAGAATCTCCAGAATAACCCATGTCACATCTTACATAAATAAATTTTTTAAAATAGAATATCAAATTCAAGACACAAAATCTATATGATAAATTTAAACACAAATATATTAATGTTTAGATATGCATATTTGTCAAACAGAATCTGAAAAACTTTTTCTAATTCAAAAGAAATTAAATACTTTTATGATTCCATATGTTTAATTAAGAAATATTTTTTGGCTTGTTTTATAAGCTACTTTCAAGTATATACCTGAAGATTGCTTATTAACATTCTAATATTATTCTATAGACTAATCTCAGAATGTAAATCTCAGAATATTTATCTTGTTAGAATGATCCTTAGGATGTAAACCTGAATATGACTAGGAGCAAAGGAGAGCTCCTTCTCCCATCCACCCAGACATTAATAAACAAGGAATTACAATTTATTAATAGAGCAATGTGCAATACTGGTTGTTCTCTTTCCAGATTTTGCTATCTCTATAACCAAGTCAAAAACAAATAGTTTCCACAGTCTTTCCTCTGCAACAAGGATAATACTGTACAACCCCAATACCATTTTTGGATCCTATATCGCTGAGAATAGCATGTCTTTTTAGAATCGGCTTTACTTTGCCTATAACTCCCCAACCTACGCTACAAAGAGTGTTTTGTAATAATAGACACACACTCAGATTAAATGAAAAATCGGGATGTACAAAATTCTGTTATAACACATACTATCAGGGGAGGAAATTATTTACATTAAGGCTACTACTAGAATGCTAGTCCCGTATCCTGGAACATCAAGAAGATATTAAACAGACCAGCAACTGAATTATCTAAAAAGGTACTAGACCAGGGTTATCTACTGCTTTGGGCACAAACTAAAACACTTAAGCAGTGCAATGATCGAAGACAGGTATTTATATGGGAAACCTCTATATTTCTGCAGTAACACTGTGCAATACACTGACTTTAGAAATTCCACAACTGTGGGTAACTTTATTCAAACAATTTAATTTGTAATTTTGTATTCACAATTATTTCACAACTATAAAAGCTTACTAAATTGCTTTTTAAAAGGTTTTTGAAAATATGATGTCAAATACAACATACTTCTATAATTTTTTGAAAATATTTCAATTTAATTCAATTTGTTCTATATTCCATCCAGGTGAATTGCATAATTTGAAAAAGTCTGTTTGATAACCAAATGTTCGAAAATTAATTATATTTGATTTCTTTTTCACCTCAGGATGGTGGCTGTAAGCTATTGAAATTACTAATGAGTATGTCTTAATTAAAAATTGTGCTTGTAATGAGGTGTCAATTATTTTATTTAAGTAAAAATTATTTATACTAAAAGTAAATTCATCTCTATTAGAATCATTTTCATTATTTTATTCTATTGGGTTGTTCGGAAAGTAAGTTCGTTTTTTTTACCACTAGACGGATTAGTGGTATTTTTCCCACCATTTTCTTTCTAAACCGTATTATCATTATATATTTTGACAGCTAGCATTTTATGGCTTATTTGTAAAAAATTTTGTATGATTTCGTGCAATTGTTTATTTTTTGTGTCCCATCAAATATGGAAGATNTTTGTGGTTGTTCCGAATTAAAATTGATTAGTTTTGCTGAACTATTCATATGTTGTCTGTTTTACAATTAACTTTTTGTAGCCTTTTAAAATTGGACAACTATTTGCAAATGCATTGTGCTTTGCATCATGTCCTTTCCCCTCTGGTAGCTTTATGTTAGCTTTTGTGCAGTTTGTGTACTTTGCTTCTTCTAGATTTGGGCATTCTTTGTATTTATGTTCTCTGGCACAGTGACTTCTCCCTTGAGTCACAGTGCCTTGCCAGATGCCCGAAGCCAGTGCATCTTGAAGCACCTTGTTATACGGATGAAATTATCCACTATCAAAGTGTTCCAATCATAGTGGAGCCATTTTAGGTTTATCAGTGTGGTCCTAAGCACTGGGTTACACTCACGGCAATGTGTTGCCTGTCCTCCCATTTTTTTGGTGATATGGCTGTTTTGAATTATACTTCTGAGCCATATGCCTCTCTGGACACTTTTTCCCTTAAGCCTTAATCCTGTTTTGATCATATACTTTTTTCACTACTTTCTCCCAGTTGTCTTTTCTCAGTGCATTAAGGTAATCACCCTTGGTCTTTGCTTTAAGGGTCTGTTGGTTTTCACTTTTTCCTTTATGGCTGGTTGAGCTTTAATTACCTGCTTTAGTATATCAAAGTCTTTCTCCATTTGTACCCTTATTTTCAGTAATCCACTTGGAAAAGGTGTTACACTCTTCACCTCTACGTTGAGGCTTGTCAGCTCCACTCTCTGGCAGTGTATTCATAACTTCCGCTGGAAACAGTTGTATCCCCTTTTGAAGTTGTGTTTGAAGATGATATAAGCTTGGAGTGTTTTCCTGCACTTTCCTTTCCTGACATCAGTTCAATAATTAGCTTCATAGATCCACTTCCTTTCCATGGATCCTGTTTAATAACATCAGTGTAAGTAGATTTTGATATTGGCCCTGAACTTCTCAGTGCAAGCACCATGCCAAAAAGGTTGTGAGCAGCAGCATGCATGTCCGATGCCACTTGCCTAATATTCTTTCAGTTGTTCTTTTTTTACAGATCCATGTGCGTTTACTGGAAATGCTTCCATAATAGTGTTCAACCCTTTGGAGATAGTCTCTAACAAGGATTTCTCTGGAGATCCATTATTACCCACAGAGTTACAATTATAACCAACAATCACAGTCAAGCCATTCAGCTGATGGCGAAGTGCTGATTGACCCGTGCTGTTCGGCTAGAGATCGTGCTGGTCAGCTAAAGCAATACGTGTGTCTAAACAATAAAACTGTTCTGTGTCAATGAAACCCTTATTACATCGTAATTAATAACCCAATTTATTATGAAACTAATAGATAAGTCTAGAACAATGTTATTTGTTTTTTATTTACAGAAGAGTCCAGTCACACAGAACTATTTAGCCCATAAGCAGCCTGCTTATGGTTGAGAGAACCTGTCAACAAAGCTTTGCAAAAACAGCTTACAAAATTAAGATTAGCAGCTCTGTGGATAGAGCTTGAGATGATGAATCCAGCGATATGCCACACTTAAGGAAAGAACCTACAAGAGTGTGGTGTCCAACCACATGGTGCGCAGTTAGTAACAATGGCTTTGTTGAAGTATGCGAAAATGGAGTATTATAACTCTGTTATAAATCATCCAATAATTACAAAAATAGATAGAGGCACTTACAAAGTTCTCTACTGAGTGACAGTGCCATTGGGAATCACTTCTTAAGCAATCGAAGCCCGCAATTGGCCCGAAAATCTTCTGAGTTGATTTCGCTAATAATCCTTAACAAAAAATTATCAGATGCACAAACAATACATGTCAATTGAAAGATCTCGTCAAGACAAATCCAATGATGTATAGATATCCAGTGATAATCCAACTAATCTGCCAATGTGAAAATTGAAAACGAGACTACCAATCAAACACTCCCCTAGCATTCTTTTTTTTGTTATAAAAACTTTCTGTCTTAATGTCTAATTAAAGCTTCCTTTTCTTTATGTATAAACAGTGCTATTTTTCAGCCAGATTGCACTGGTGCACAGATATGCCATACAGCAGATACCACTATAAAAAAGCATATTGACAGCTAGTGTGTAGTACCAACAGTTTCTCAGTAAGAAAAATTCTATATAGTCAGACAAGAAGTCTAGTGACTGGCACAATAAAAAACAAATAAAACAAACTGACCACTCTATTGGTCACAATGAATGCCATGGGCCAATTGGAGTTGAAATAAAAAACAACTGGGATGGAGGACTCTCCCATTCATCAGAGACCATATCGCTACTTTGGAAGAAAACCGGCACAACTCAAAATTACTAGTTTTGAGAAAATCCCATGCAAAGATTTAACCAAAGTTTAACTGAATATCACTTATCTCCCACATAAGTGCTCCCTAGTGGTTGAATACGCAAGTTACTTTTGTGACACTCTTCCACATAAAAATTTACTACATTTTCGTTTTGATTATGACATAATCAAAAAATCACACTTTTTTGAGTTATGCTGGTTTTCTTCCAAAGTAGTGATATGTCAACTGTCTGATAAATGTCTGTCCCTGTTACATTCTTATCAATGAGGTACATAAAAGTGCTAATCATAAAATTTTGAAAGGGAAAAGTAAAAAGTGCATGATTTAGTAACTGACACTAAATCCAAAATAAGAAATAAAGAAAAAATTGCAGACGGAGATTACAAAAAATTTGGAAAATATGATAAATAATAGAAAATAAGTGTGTATATTTATAAAGAAAAAATAAATAATTAGTAATATTAAATACATTTTATTATTACAATTTTTCCAAAGCAAAACTTTATTTTTAGTCACCATATATATGTACTGGAAGCAATTCTTTTTAGAAAAAGAGCACTATGTATAAATATTGATGAAAATAACACAATAATACAGATGTAAAACAACAAATTAAATAATTTAGAACAATCATATGAAAATAACTTTAAATTTAAGTCTACAATTACCATTAAAGAATAATAGAATAGCTTTTATCTTAATTACATCTGTAGCTATAAACCATTTTATTCTTTAAATTTTATAACTTTAAATTAAGTCTACAATTACCATTAAAGAATAATATAATAGCTTTTATCTTAATTACATCTGTAGCTATAAACCATTTTATTCTAAAAATTAAAATTATAAATTGAAAAACATAAGAACAAACTAACCCTTGATATTCAGAAGAAAAAAATTGTGATTTCAATGCAGAATGACTTCCATTACAACTAGGAGGTAAACACAACTCATGAAGAGAATACCAATTATGGCCATGGTCAGATGAAAACTCAATAGCAACACTAAAATTTAAAAAAATAGATTAAAATATATTTTAAATATAAGTCATATAATAAATACCTGATTAATTAATAAAAATTAAATATAAATATAACTTAAGATAAGAATACAGTGCACACTTGCTAATCTAAACTAGTTATTATGCAGGGTGGTTCAGATTAATGAAAAATTTAGATTATCAGGGTTACAAAAATATATAAAAAGTAACACAAAAAGGACTAAAAACAAAAAATTTATATATATCAATTCTTTAAATATAATGATCTAACAAATTAACAGTAATAACTAGAAATCAAGTTCAGTTTTTATACAGCTAGACAAAACTATAAAAAAACTATTGAATTTTATTATTGTAATAGATTTTAGAAGATTAGAAATTATTAATGAATTCGATGCTAGAGATAGATAGTATTACTATTATCATGCCATTTTCTATCACAAAAAGTATTTAAATAATTAATTATATTTTATTAATTTTGAAACAACAGGAAAATTGAGCTCAAAACAAGTTTCAAACACAAAAAAGACTCAAATTTCAATCCTGTAATCAAATATCTAATTAGTAAAATATTCAATTCATATGAAGAGCTGTAAGTACAAGTCTCTCAGCCAAATTTTTTTGGCATTTTCAAAATTAATCATTATTCAATTATTATATTATTATAAGATAATATCATTATTTTTTTTGCCAAACTTTTAGTAATTAATTTCTAGACAGCTAGAACATAACCTAGTAATAAAATCTGTCAGCTTTCAAAATAATTTAAATCAAACCAATAAGAACCTATTAAAAACTTCTCTATAAATATGATTAGATTCAGTATTGCATAAAATAATAATATGATTTTATACAATCCACAAGTTATAATTATTTGAGTTTTATATTTATTATTCACAGAAATAAAACTTTTCTGTTATTTATTCTTACAATTTGGTTTAATAATTTAAGCATCTTCACATTAAGAAAAACAAATATAATGGAAATTCTAAATACAGTGGTGCCTCGTGTAACGTACACCTTGAATAACGGATGCTGTGAACAATGGACTTTTTGTTTGGCCATTACGTGACTCAAGCAACGGACTGGCTACGAACAATGGACTTTCCATTCGACAGTTACGTGAGGCAAATAACAGTCTTTCTGTGAACAAGTGCGAATGATGTTTCCACTCTTTTGCCATTGCCAATGACAATCTGCTATTTTTAAAATATATTAGTATTATTAGAATATATTATTAGTATATCTGAAGTACAGAGCTCCCATTGGGATTCGGCTTGCTCCCTAGTTTATTACGTAAACCACCTCAGTGCAGGGTATTTACATTTATTCAAGTGTGCAAATCATGGCTTCTAAAAAAACAGAAAGGTAATTTTAATTGAAGCAAAGCAAGAAATCATCAGAAGGAGTAAAAGTTGACAAAAACTTCTTTGTCAAATGGGGAGAGGTTCAGGATTTTACCAACACTCATTATCCAAACAGAACTGAGGCCAACAGGATCAATGATCTCTACAATAACACACTTGCCCGTCATTTCCGACAGGTGTTGGAGAAGAGAGAGAAACAGACCACCTTGGACATGTTTTTCAAGAAGCCAGCTGCCAAAAAACAAAGGATGGAACAAGAGGAGTTGACCCTGCAAGCTCTGGTAGCCTCTGCTGAATCTGACTCCAATTAAAAAACAATAAAAAAAAGACCTGCTGCAATGTGTAAAAAGTCTGTATCTGTATGAATGTGTGAAAAAAGTGTTCCTCCACCTCCTCCTCACAACATCTGACTACCGGCATAATTGGTGACTGTTGCATTTTCATTTTTTTTATGGTACAGTATGGTTATTTTATGATGTGGAACGAATTATATGTTTTAACATGTATTTCTAAGGGAAAATGCGTTTCGTATAACGGACTTTTCACTAAACAGATGTGCACCTGGAACAGATTAAGTATGTTATACAAGGCACCACTGTATTTAGATGCTTATTTAACTTGCTGTTTCTATTCCGTTTTTCAAATATCAATATGTAACTGGTTCAAACAATGTTATTCTCTCACTGTTAACTCATCCCCAGATTCCAAAAATACTAGCCAGTCAACAACTTCATTTTACCCAAATACATTTTGGAAATTGCAATATTTCCCTCCTCAGTGGGCTTTCTTTCAAACAAGCCAAACGAAGCACAAACACTTTTTTATATTTACACAATATTTCAATATTCCAATTGTTATTTTTTTCTATTTCCATATTAAAATCGTTTCTTCCTGTGTTCTTTTCTTTAATCATACACATTATGCATGGTCCTTGCCATCATTACTTCGAAATTAATGATGGCAAAGACCCTGCAGAATCTTCAATAATCTAGAGTGAGTTCATTCTTGATTTATGAAAACTTATGAAAAATCAGTAAAATTTTATAAAATACCTGTTTTCTGATGAATTTTCTCCACAATTTAAATTTAATTTAAATTGTACAACATGCGTAATTAATGACGGTAACCATGGTAGTAAAGTAACTGAATCAATAGCCCAAACATTTTTATTTTTCCGAGCAGAATCTGTTTGCTTCCAGCAGAATCTTGTCTTTGTTGTTTGTGCTTCTTCAAGAACAGGAAGCATCACATGGTATGGAGGCTAATTACCATTAAAGAATAATAGAATAGCTTTTATCTTAATTACATCTGTAGCTATAAACCATTTTATTCTAAAAATTAAAATTATAAATTGAAAAACATAAGAACAAACTAACCCTTGATATTCAGAAGAAAAAAATTGTGATTTCAATGCAGAATGACTTCCATTACAACTAGGAGGTAAACACAACTCATGAAGAGAATACCAATTATGGCCATGGTCAGATGAAAACTCAATAGCAACACTAAAATTTAAAAAAATAGATTAAAATATATTTTAAATATAAGTCATATAATAAATACCTGATTAATTAATAAAAATTAAATATAAATATAACTTAAGATAAGAATACAGTGCACACTTGCTAATCTAAACTAGTTATTATGCAGGGTGGTTCAGATTAATGAAAAATTTAGATTATCAGGGTTACAAAAATATATAAAAAGTAACACAAAAAGGACTAAAAACAAAAAATTTATATATATCAATTCTTTAAATATAATGATCTAACAAATTAACAGTAATAACTAGAAATCAAGTTCAGTTTTTATACAGCTAGACAAAACTATAAAAAAACTATTGAATTTTATTATTGTAATAGATTTTAGAAGATTAGAAATTATTAATGAATTCGATGCTAGAGATAGATAGTATTACTATTATCATGCCATTTTCTATCACAAAAAGTATTTAAATAATTAATTATATTTTATTAATTTTGAAACAACAGGAAAATTGAGCTCAAAACAAGTTTCAAACACAAAAAAGACTCAAATTTCAATCCTGTAATCAAATATCTAATTAGTAAAATATTCAATTCATATGAAGAGCTGTAAGTACAAGTCTCTCAGCCAAATTTTTTTGGCATTTTCAAAATTAATCATTATTCAATTATTATATTATTATAAGATAATATCATTATTTTTTTTGCCAAACTTTTAGTAATTAATTTCTAGACAGCTAGAACATAACCTAGTAATAAAATCTGTCAGCTTTCAAAATAATTTAAATCAAACCAATAAGAACCTATTAAAAACTTCTCTATAAATATGATTAGATTCAGTATTGCATAAAATAATAATATGATTTTATACAATCCACAAGTTATAATTATTTGAGTTTTATATTTATTATTCACAGAAATAAAACTTTTCTGTTATTTATTCTTACAATTTGGTTTAATAATTTAAGCATCTTCACATTAAGAAAAACAAATATAATGGAAATTCTAAATACAGTGGTGCCTCGTGTAACGTACACCTTGAATAACGGATGCTGTGAACAATGGACTTTTTGTTTGGCCATTACGTGACTCAAGCAACGGACTGGCTACGAACAATGGACTTTCCATTCGACAGTTACGTGAGGCAAATAACAGTCTTTCTGTGAACAAGTGCGAATGATGTTTCCACTCTTTTGCCATTGCCAATGACAATCTGCTATTTTTAAAATATATTAGTATTATTAGAATATATTATTAGTATATCTGAAGTACAGAGCTCCCATTGGGATTCGGCTTGCTCCCTAGNTTAACAAACAAAAAATAAATATATTAAAATATATAAAAAGAATAAAAAATTATACTTCAGAAGTTAATTTAGTATCAAAAATGTAAAATATTTGAGTAGCCCAAGACATAGCCAAAGATTGCAGTGCTACAGCACTGGCGAAAATTTAAATTTGCCGACTGGAATTCTTTCAGATGATTGAAGTTTCGGATGATTGACTTTCGGATAATCGACGCTCTACTGTATTAATATATTCTTATATCTAGAGTAAATAATATAACTAGTAGTAATGATACAAATAATAATGACATAAAACTGTATGTATATTAAAATTGTTTACATAATGAATTAAAATACATAAAACAGATATTAAGTTTAAAAGATACACACAACCAGCAAAATATGTTTTATAAATTTAATAAAATTGTCTTGGTTTTTTAAATGACATGTTACTGATCAGTAACATTAAAAAGCAGGAATAAGATATTTAATAGCATAAAATGATAAGGGCATCAATACTTGTCAATATTTGAAATTTGGTTGTCCATTATATAAGCATTTCCCAACCTATGTGCTCAGACACATAAGTGTGTCATGAGAGTGCCTCAGGTGTGTTGTGGAAATATTAAATAGTTTTTAGAATTTTAAATAGGCTATTTTTTAAAATTTCATTTAATATTTCCAGCAGACTGAAAGGAGGAGGTGGTATTCATTAAAATGTCTGTTGTTGCAACATTTACAGCATCAGCATACCCCTCACAAAAGTTCCATTGTCTTTGCATATGCTGGTATACCAATTGTAGTGCTACGCTACTTTGGTTTTTTATTTATGTACTCTTCCATTTTATTATAATTTGTGTAAATGAATTTCCACGTGTCAAGAACTATGTTTTGTTTTCTTTGTGTAATTGTACGCGGAAGACTATGTCGGGTCACTCCTATTGCTGCGCAAGGGGGTGCGGACTGATTGGTGGAGAACAAAAGGTCACGTGAAGAAGGGTATAAAAAGAGACTGTCTCGTGTGTGCAAGGACTCTCTCTCTTCTCGTGTTGGATTGATGCTACAAGGACAGACGGACGGACGGATGAGCGAGCAGAGACGCGCAAGGAGATCGGACTGAGAACAAAGGAGTATAGTAGCAACACATGTGTACCACCATGTAAATGATTGTATATATAATTAAGTCGTTTTAGCTTAGAATTTAGAAGTAAGTTTTTTTTCTCTTTTTTTTCTCTTAAGATTGTATTCACAATATCTACCTACCTTCGTAAGGCAGACCAATAATGGAAAGAATTACGAATTGTTATTAAAAGCAAATTTCATTCAAAGTGCCATTGTACAGTCCTCATTCGTTTTTGTTTTCTTACACCCATAATCAATATATTCCAATATATCTGATTATTATACACAATTCTTTGAAACTTATATTGTAGCTAACTAGCTTAACTCTTTAAACAAGAAATCAGCCAAAATTGACCTTTACCATTTGAAATGAATTCAGCTGATGGAAAAGTTGTTTGACTGGTTTTGCTATATAAATTTCCCTTATAATCTGAGGGGTAAAAACAATTTTAGTCTCCAGGTACAGTACATAAATAGAAAAAATTTTCAGAGCTTAAAGAGTTAAAGACCAATACTAGCTCTTTACACATTGGTTCAAATACCGTGTTTCCCCGAAAATAAGACAGTGCCTTATATTAATTTTTGCTCTGAAAAATGTGCTAGGTCTTATTTTCAGGGAATGTCTTATTTTTTCCAGGAAGAAGAATTCACATTTATTATTGAACAAAAAAATTCCCAAGTCGAACTTAGACGAGAGTGACGTATATCCGGTGCGTCGGAACTGTCGCCTTTTTATAGCGTCAACATCAGACTCGATGACCAATTAGTGCTTACTGAACCGTAGCACTATGCAAATGTCATGTGGCATGATTCCCGGCCGACCAATTAGCCATCACCAGCCGTAACGTTATGCAAATCTGTGATTCCCAAGCTATAGTCTTATGCAAATCATGCCATGTAGCGTAATTGTCTGCTGACCAATCAGTGGTTGTTGGTTTTCAAAAAGCCAACAGCCACTGAAAAGCCAACGGCCACTTTCAACCATCTGTCGATGACCGTTACGACTAAAAAAGAACTTCGCTAGGTCTTACTTTCAGGGGGAGGTCTTATATTTCGCAATTCAGCAAAACCTGTGCTAGGTCTTATTTTCTGCGGATGTCTTATTTTCGGGGAAACACGGTAGTCTTTTTATTAGTTTCCTGGCTATTTATATCTAACAAAGGGAAAGTATGGCAATTGGTCAAAAAATTACCTCCAAAGATTTTTACATTTTTGGACTCAGGAAACCATGAAATGCCAAGAAATTCAAAAAAATTCAGGGGTTTTTCTGTATGTATGGATGTTAGTGTATGTTAGTGTGTATGGTGATACAATTCTGTTCACCCATTTTGAAGCTGAATAACTCTTGTGCTTTTTGTCAAAAATTTCTGAAATTTTACAGAGAAGTTTGTGTATTAGGTTTATTGATGCTAATAAATTTTGGTGATTAAAGGTCGAGGAGGTGGGGCGATATAGGGGGTCGGATGTCATATCTCAATGTTAATAAAGATTTTACTTGTTATTAGCATTTACAATTTTTTACAAAACTTACCCCTACTGTTAACATTAAGCTTTTTGCAATTATATAATAATTAATTATATTAAAAGTTTTTTAATAAAATATCATAACAGATGGCTCCACATGCAGTTTTAAAATATTGTTGCTAGGAAAGTTAAGCAACTCATTTCTTTTATACTTGCAGTAAGCTGTATTTGTAAAATTTTGAGAGCATTAGTAGAGTGTGTCAATCGCCCTCTAACACTCTCTGTATGAAGTCTTTTGCATTTTGGGCAGCATCAACAGTCAATCTTCCTTGCCTGAAGCCAAATTGGTTGTCATACTGCTGTTTGTGTTTACTTAAGTGCCAATTGATCCTTCTAATTAAAAGGCCATCCTGCACTTTCCCCATTGCTGAGAGCAAACTGATCAGCCAGTAGTCCTTGTTCAAGGTGGAATTGACTGTCTTTGGTATGAATTTCACACTGGCCACTTTCCAGTGGTCTGGGAAGTAGCCAGTTGAGAGGCAAGAGTTGAATAAAATCACAAAAGCAATTGACACCTCTTCAAAAGCTGCCTTGATAGTTTCGGCAGTGATGCCAGGTGTTTTTTATTAGCCAAGGTTCTCACTGCATTCCTCACCTCTGTGAATGAGAATTGCTTATCATTGTCTGTGCTAATTGGCCTGTCAGCCTCATTCCTGATTCGGGCATGTACCATCTAGTCATCCTCCCACCTATCCACAGGGAAGTGGGTGCTGAGATCTTGAATGCTCAAATTTATTTTATAAGTATTATTATTGTCTGCTTTGAAAATGTGTGATATGTTTGCCTTTTTGGTTCCTTTAAAAAATATCTAGTAGGGGTGACTCCGTGGGTTTTTATTTTGCCAACTGCAGTATTATTTCCATGATGAGGTTCTTGCTTTATTTATTTCTGATTTGTATTCCTTTATTTTCTTGTTGTATTCTTTCTGCTTTTGTTGTTTGATTATTGTGTTCTGCTCCCTTTGTAGGTGTTGCCAACATAGCCTGACTTCCCTCTTTAGCATCTCCAGGCTCCCAGTCCATCAGTGCATGCCTTTGTGCATCTTCCACTTTCTACTTGTAACTTGGGCTGTTGCCCTTGTCATTGTTTCAGTTAGTCTGTCAGCATACATATCAATCTTGTCTGGGGTGTTAGGGAGTCTTAATTGGTTGTATTCTCCAATGCTTAATGAAGAGGTGTCTGAAAAGGTCCCAGTTTGTTCTCTTTGTGTAGTTGTTGTCAGTTGTATTTGCCTGGCAAATGCCACTTAATTCCATGAGAATGTAGCAGTGGTCACTTGCCAAAGGAGTTAGTTGTGTCTCACAGTATTCTATGGAGCAGCCCATCTCTGTGGGGGCTATGCACACATCTATTCAACCTCTAGCCCTGCCTGTGTAAAAGGTAGGGACATCTGACATGTTTAGTGACAGGCAGTCATTTGTGTCTATCCAGTCGCTCAGCAGCCTACCCCTGTAATCCTCTTCTTCGTGGAACCAGAAGGAAGATTTTCCATTTACATTCCCAGCCACAATGTAATGCTTGCTTTTAATAGCTTTGATGATGATGTCTAATTCTTCCACACAGCCTTTGTCATCATTTGCAGGCGAGAAGTAGACATTTATGATGTATAGAGGAGGTTTCTTGATTTATCGCTACTGCTGTTCTTTGTTTATCGCCACCAGATGCAGCAATGATAACTGAGCTAAGTTCAGTTATCATTGCTGCATCAATATTTGTATTTCAGAGAATGACTCCACTTTTGGGTTTGTTGTCCTGGCTATTGCTGTACACTTGTCAGTTACTGAGATGGATAATTGATCTGTTAACAGTGTATGGCTCCTAAATTAAGGTGATGTCGCGCTTACATCGTTAGCCGTTTTAACAAGTAATGAAGTAGCTGTTTTCCCTCTCTGTGTATTTATCTGCAGTATTCTGATTTTATCAGTTTGTTCTTCCATTTTTGTGGTTGTTCCGAATTAAAATTGATTAGTTTTGCTGAACTATTCATATGTTGTCTGTTTTACAATTAACTTTTTGTAGCCTTTTAAAATTGGACAACTATTTGCAAATGCATTGTGCTTTGCATCATGTCCTTTCCCCTCTGGTAGCTTTATGTTAGCTTTTGTGCAGTTTGTGTACTTTGCTTCTTCTAGATTTGGGCATTCTTTGTATTTATGTTCTCTGGCACAGTGACTTCTCCCTTGAGTCACAGTGCCTTGCCAGATGCCCGAAGCCAGTGCATCTTGAAGCACCTTGTTATACGGATGAAATTATCCACTATCAAAGTGTTCCAATCATAGTGGAGCCATTTTAGGTTTATCAGTGTGGTCCTAAGCACTGGGTTACACTCACGGCAATGTGTTGCCTGTCCTCCCATTTTTTTGGTGATATGGCTGTTTTGAATTATACTTCTGAGCCATATGCCTCTCTGGACACTTTTTCCCTTAAGCCTTAATCCTGTTTTGATCATATACTTTTTTCACTACTTTCTCCCAGTTGTCTTTTCTCAGTGCATTAAGGTAATCACCCTTGGTCTTTGCTTTAAGGGTCTGTTGGTTTTCACTTTTTCCTTTATGGCTGGTTGAGCTTTAATTACCTGCTTTAGTATATCAAAGTCTTTCTCCATTTGTACCCTTATTTTCAGTAATCCACTTGGAAAAGGTGTTACACTCTTCACCTCTACGTTGAGGCTTGTCAGCTCCACTCTCTGGCAGTGTATTCATAACTTCCGCTGGAAACAGTTGTATCCCCTTTTGAAGTTGTGTTTGAAGATGATATAAGCTTGGAGTGTTTTCCTGCACTTTCCTTTCCTGACATCAGTTCAATAATTAGCTTCATAGATCCACTTCCTTTCCATGGATCCTGTTTAATAACATCAGTGTAAGTAGATTTTGATATTGGCCCTGAACTTCTCAGTGCAAGCACCATGCCAAAAAGGTTGTGAGCAGCAGCATGCATGTCCGATGCCACTTGCCTAATATTCTTTCAGTTGTTCTTTTTTTACAGATCCATGTGCGTTTACTGGAAATGCTTCCATAATAGTGTTCAACCCTTTGGAGATAGTCTCTAACAAGGATTTCTCTGGAGATCCATTATTACCCACAGAGTTACAATTATAACCAACAATCACAGTCAAGCCATTCAGCTGATGGCGAAGTGCTGATTGACCCGTGCTGTTCGGCTAGAGATCGTGCTGGTCAGCTAAAGCAATACGTGTGTCTAAACAATAAAACTGTTCTGTGTCAATGAAACCCTTATTACATCGTAATTAATAACCCAATTTATTATGAAACTAATAGATAAGTCTAGAACAATGTTATTTGTTTTTTATTTACAGAAGAGTCCAGTCACACAGAACTATTTAGCCCATAAGCAGCCTGCTTATGGTTGAGAGAACCTGTCAACAAAGCTTTGCAAAAACAGCTTACAAAATTAAGATTAGCAGCTCTGTGGATAGAGCTTGAGATGATGAATCCAGCGATATGCCACACTTAAGGAAAGAACCTACAAGAGTGTGGTGTCCAACCACATGGTGCGCAGTTAGTAACAATGGCTTTGTTGAAGTATGCGAAAATGGAGTATTATAACTCTGTTATAAATCATCCAATAATTACAAAAATAGATAGAGGCACTTACAAAGTTCTCTACTGAGTGACAGTGCCATTGGGAATCACTTCTTAAGCAATCGAAGCCCGCAATTGGCCCGAAAATCTTCTGAGTTGATTTCGCTAATAATCCTTAACAAAAAATTATCAGATGCACAAACAATACATGTCAATTGAAAGATCTCGTCAAGACAAATCCAATGATGTATAGATATCCAGTGATAATCCAACTAATCTGCCAATGTGAAAATTGAAAACGAGACTACCAATCAAACACTCCCCTAGCATTCTTTTTTTTGTTATAAAAACTTTCTGTCTTAATGTCTAATTAAAGCTTCCTTTTCTTTATGTATAAACAGTGCTATTTTTCAGCCAGATTGCACTGGTGCACAGATATGCCATACAGCAGATACCACTATAAAAAAGCATATTGACAGCTAGTGTGTAGTACCAACAGTTTCTCAGTAAGAAAAATTCTATATAGTCAGACAAGAAGTCTAGTGACTGGCACAATAAAAAACAAATAAAACAAACTGACCACTCTATTGGTCACAATGAATGCCATGGGCCAATTGGAGTTGAAATAAAAAACAACTGGGATGGAGGACTCTCCCATTCATCAGAGACCATATCGCTACTTTGGAAGAAAACCGGCACAACTCAAAATTACTAGTTTTGAGAAAATCCCATGCAAAGATTTAACCAAAGTTTAACTGAATATCACTTATCTCCCACATAAGTGCTCCCTAGTGGTTGAATACGCAAGTTACTTTTGTGACACTCTTCCACATAAAAATTTACTACATTTTCGTTTTGATTATGACATAATCAAAAAATCACACTTTTTTGAGTTATGCTGGTTTTCTTCCAAAGTAGTGATATGTCAACTGTCTGATAAATGTCTGTCCCTGTTACATTCTTATCAATGAGGTACATAAAAGTGCTAATCATAAAATTTTGAAAGGGAAAAGTAAAAAGTGCATGATTTAGTAACTGACACTAAATCCAAAATAAGAAATAAAGAAAAAATTGCAGACGGAGATTACAAAAAATTTGGAAAATATGATAAATAATAGAAAATAAGTGTGTATATTTATAAAGAAAAAATAAATAATTAGTAATATTAAATACATTTTATTATTACAATTTTTCCAAAGCAAAACTTTATTTTTAGTCACCATATATATGTACTGGAAGCAATTCTTTTTAGAAAAAGAGCACTATGTATAAATATTGATGAAAATAACACAATAATACAGATGTAAAACAACAAATTAAATAATTTAGAACAATCATATGAAAATAACTTTAAATTTAAGTCTACAATTACCATTAAAGAATAATAGAATAGCTTTTATCTTAATTACATCTGTAGCTATAAACCATTTTATTCTTTAAATTTTATAACTTTAAATTAAGTCTACAATTACCATTAAAGAATAATATAATAGCTTTTATCTTAATTACATCTGTAGCTATAAACCATTTTATTCTAAAAATTAAAATTATAAATTGAAAAACATAAGAACAAACTAACCCTTGATATTCAGAAGAAAAAAATTGTGATTTCAATGCAGAATGACTTCCATTACAACTAGGAGGTAAACACAACTCATGAAGAGAATACCAATTATGGCCATGGTCAGATGAAAACTCAATAGCAACACTAAAATTTAAAAAAATAGATTAAAATATATTTTAAATATAAGTCATATAATAAATACCTGATTAATTAATAAAAATTAAATATAAATATAACTTAAGATAAGAATACAGTGCACACTTGCTAATCTAAACTAGTTATTATGCAGGGTGGTTCAGATTAATGAAAAATTTAGATTATCAGGGTTACAAAAATATATAAAAAGTAACACAAAAAGGACTAAAAACAAAAAATTTATATATATCAATTCTTTAAATATAATGATCTAACAAATTAACAGTAATAACTAGAAATCAAGTTCAGTTTTTATACAGCTAGACAAAACTATAAAAAAACTATTGAATTTTATTATTGTAATAGATTTTAGAAGATTAGAAATTATTAATGAATTCGATGCTAGAGATAGATAGTATTACTATTATCATGCCATTTTCTATCACAAAAAGTATTTAAATAATTAATTATATTTTATTAATTTTGAAACAACAGGAAAATTGAGCTCAAAACAAGTTTCAAACACAAAAAAGACTCAAATTTCAATCCTGTAATCAAATATCTAATTAGTAAAATATTCAATTCATATGAAGAGCTGTAAGTACAAGTCTCTCAGCCAAATTTTTTTGGCATTTTCAAAATTAATCATTATTCAATTATTATATTATTATAAGATAATATCATTATTTTTTTTGCCAAACTTTTAGTAATTAATTTCTAGACAGCTAGAACATAACCTAGTAATAAAATCTGTCAGCTTTCAAAATAATTTAAATCAAACCAATAAGAACCTATTAAAAACTTCTCTATAAATATGATTAGATTCAGTATTGCATAAAATAATAATATGATTTTATACAATCCACAAGTTATAATTATTTGAGTTTTATATTTATTATTCACAGAAATAAAACTTTTCTGTTATTTATTCTTACAATTTGGTTTAATAATTTAAGCATCTTCACATTAAGAAAAACAAATATAATGGAAATTCTAAATACAGTGGTGCCTCGTGTAACGTACACCTTGAATAACGGATGCTGTGAACAATGGACTTTTTGTTTGGCCATTACGTGACTCAAGCAACGGACTGGCTACGAACAATGGACTTTCCATTCGACAGTTACGTGAGGCAAATAACAGTCTTTCTGTGAACAAGTGCGAATGATGTTTCCACTCTTTTGCCATTGCCAATGACAATCTGCTATTTTTAAAATATATTAGTATTATTAGAATATATTATTAGTATATCTGAAGTACAGAGCTCCCATTGGGATTCGGCTTGCTCCCTAGTTTATTACGTAAACCACCTCAGTGCAGGGTATTTACATTTATTCAAGTGTGCAAATCATGGCTTCTAAAAAAACAGAAAGGTAATTTTAATTGAAGCAAAGCAAGAAATCATCAGAAGGAGTAAAAGTTGACAAAAACTTCTTTGTCAAATGGGGAGAGGTTCAGGATTTTACCAACACTCATTATCCAAACAGAGCTGAGGCCAACAGGATCAATGATCTCTACAATAACACACTTGCCCGTCATTTCCGACAGGTGTTGGAGAAGAGAGAGAAACAGACCACCTTGGACATGTTTTTCAAGAAGCCAGCTGCCAAAAAACAAAGGATGGAACAAGAGGAGTTGACCCTGCAAGCTCTGGTAGCCTCTGCTGAATCTGACTCCAATTAAAAAACAATAAAAAAAAGACCTGCTGCAATGTGTAAAAAGTCTGTATCTGTATGAATGTGTGAAAAAAGTGTTCCTCCACCTCCTCCTCACAACATCTGACTACCGGCATAATTGGTGACTGTTGCATTTTCATTTTTTTTATGGTACAGTATGGTTATTTTATGATGTGGAACGAATTATATGTTTTAACATGTATTTCTAAGGGAAAATGCGTTTCGTATAACGGACTTTTCACTAAACAGATGTGCACCTGGAACAGATTAAGTACGTTATACAAGGCACCACTGTATTTAGATGCTTATTTAACTTGCTGTTTCTATTCCGTTTTTCAAATATCAATATGTAACTGGTTCAAACAATGTTATTCTCTCACTGTTAACTCATCCCCAGATTCCAAAAATACTAGCCAGTCAACAACTTCATTTTACCCAAATACATTTTGGGTAAAATGAAGTTTTCAAATGGGTAAAATATTGCAATTTCCAAATACAAATGGGGTAAAATATTGGAATTTTTGGAATATTGGAATAGATGCAAATGGGTAAAATATTGCAATTTCCAAATACATTTTGGAAATTGCAATATTTCCCTCCTCAGTGGGCTTTCTTTCAAACAAGCCAAACGAAGCACAAACACTTTTTTATATTTACACAATATTTCAATATTCCAATTGTTATTTTTTTCTATTTCCATATTAAAATCGTTTCTTCCTGTGTTCTTTTCTTTAATCATACACATTATGCATGGTCCTTGCCATCATTACTTCGAAATTAATGATGGCAAAGACCCTGCAGAATCTTCAATAATCTAGAGTGAGTTCATTCTTGATTTATGAAAACTTATGAAAAATCAGTAAAATTTTATAAAATACCTGTTTTCTGATGAATTTTCTCCACAATTTAAATTTAATTTAAATTGTACAACATGCGTAATTAATGACGGTAACCATGGTAGTAAAGTAACTGAATCAATAGCCCAAACATTTTTATTTTTCCGAGCAGAATCTGTTTGCTTCCAGCAGAATCTTGTCTTTGTTGTTTGTGCTTCTTCAAGAACAGGAAGCATCACATGGTATGGAGGCTAATGAGTATATTTTATATTTTTAATAAAAGTTAAAAATAAATAATAATAGTAATAATAATATAAAGTATAACGAATATAAAATAAATATATAAATATACACTAATATATTTAAAAACAAATACATATATTAAATTAATTATTAATACAATAAATTCTTGCCAACTTAGACCTCACAAAACTTAAATAATTTCTTTTGAAAAATTATACAGTAATTAAATTTCTTGGCAACAGAAAAATTATAATTATTTAACAAGTATTTTTGATATCTAGATATCTTTGTGATACTGTGCATTACTGTAGTCAATAATATAATGCACAATATAAAAGAATATATTGCTGTATACTGTACTGTCATAAAAATTTTTAGCACATTTCTTGTAATAGTAAATTCAGCAGTATAAAACTCAGCAAAACTTCTGTATAGAGCTGACTGTAATAAATAAATCCTTCTTCTTGTTTTCATTTTCATTGGAGAAGCACCTAGCTAACTTTAACTTTCATAAATTCAGACAAACTTCATCTCCTATTAATCCAAGTTGGTGGGGATTATTGTATTTAATTGTTTTAAAAATAAATAAAACATAATATTGATTATTTAAAAACACACAATTAATATAACTTACAAATTATAAAATAAATAAGGTTATTATTAATATTTAGTGAATAACTATGCAATAAAAATTTACAATTACATTTATTAAACAATGTTTTTAGGATAAAAAGTGTTTTGAATCTTGAAAAGAATTAAAAATATATTATAGTTATACTTCTCTATAATGGACACTTGTTGGTTGTAGAGAGGTGTCCACTTGAGAGGTTTTGTGAAAATTAGGCTACATTTAAAGGTAAATTATTTTTTATTTACAAACATATAACACACATACCATACAAAGTAATAATAATACAGTAAAACCTCAAAAGTTGCACATCTCTCTAACCTGGACACCTCACTAACTTGGACACTTTTCCCTTGTACCACACAAAAGTATACACATTATAATGTACTCCTACCTCCCTAACCTGGACACCTCATTACTTGGGCATTACTATTATTGTCATATCTTTGTACCTCTCTGTTAGACACTTATTTGGTGGTAACTCCAAGTTGGACACTAAATGACACCTAGTGACATATTAAAGTATGTTTGCTTGGCCAATAGATAGCATGTGATGATTGTTATTGTAAAGAAAGGGGTTTGGAAAAAAAGGGGTTTAAGGATAGGATTATGGCATCTGTGTAATGGTTCATACATAGAAAGCTGTATTATAGAATATATGAGCTATTACAATACAAGATCACTTAACCTGTAAAGTCCAGAAATCTGATATATCAATGATATGTTAGAAGTTCTTGAGTGTTCCAGTCATGATTCAGAAAGTATTCTCAAATATGTTGTTGCAAAAACATGTAGAAATGGTGATGTTACATAAAGTGATGTATCAGATGATGTAGAACAAGTAGTAATGGAACAGAAAGCACTAAACCATCAGTCTGCAACCATACATGTTACAGAACTGGAATGTTATGCATTTGCACATTGTCAACCTGATGGTGTAAAGAAAGTGTTTGGGATTAGGGGGAAATACAAAAGGAAATGAGAAAGTCCAGAATAACACATCTTCATCAATCTCATGTAACAGAATACTTTTCTGTAAAAAAACAAACACATTTACTGTACAAATTAATATATTTAAGTATGTCTCCATTGATTGCAAAATCAAAACATATTGTTTTTCCAGATGTTAATTTGATTTTAAATAATGTACTCAATTGCATAATAATACTATATTTCTATGGAAAGTCATATTGGCATAATTAACATTATGTACAGTACATGTAGACAAGACATTACAATTCATACATTACAGCTGGTTTAATGATACTTTATTGAACTAACATTTACAGTATTATATTAACATACATTTCCAGCATTAAATTTTGTGATAAGATTAAAAACTGATGCTTTTGTTATTATATTTAGCAAAACAGGTGCAGTATGTGTAGTATACATGTAAATGTGTAGGAACACTCATCTCTCTAATATGGACACCCCACTAACTTGGACACTTTAAACCCTCACCACATGTCCAACTTAGTAAGATTTTGCTGTAATAATATGAAACTTTACAGTAATGAAATACCATATGAGGGTCAGTATTATTGTTTTTCAAAATCAGTTTACATTTGTGTTTATTACAACTGACTAGCAATCTGCTTCTCATTACACTTATTTACATTTTATGTTAACTTTTTACTGTCTGTATCTTTTCTACTGATGTTAAACTGCTTGAATTTGTTGAGATAATCTAAGGCCTGGCTGTACATCTCTATTGATTAAAAAGATTATCACTGTTTACCTGAATTTTGTAATCTTGTTTCAAGAAATATAATGTAAACAACATTGAAAAATCTATCAAGCATTCTCTCTCTGTATCAGTTTAATACTACTTGTGTATTCTGGTTCTTTTATTAGAAATATTTATTTAATTTTTCTGGTAGCTTAAAATGTAAGGTTTCTTATTGCATCAATTTTAAACTCTATATATTTTACATAAAATATTTGTACTTCATGTATTTCATATAAAATATTTACTTATAGTTAGACTTCTTTCAATGTGAATCAATTTATGGTAATTACATGTTCTGAGTTCCATCCATTTTTTTCTACTAAAAATACTGAAATCATAATATAAATAATAGTTTTAAATTTATTTTAAATTAAAAAATAATGTGATTTGTATTGAAGAGAATCATGGTTGTGCTTATAAATAAAAATTTAATAGTTTTTCAAAATTGTAATTAATCAATTTTAAAATACAAAGCTTTATAAGTTTTATTACAACAATTAAAATTTAATAATTACCATTCCAGATGTATGCAGGGCATTTGTTAACAAAACATGTTCACCTGAACTTATTTCAGCATACACCATAATTGGAGAATTATGTGAGATACCTTTTTTATCAATGATGCAATTATCTCCACCTACAACAAAATAATTAATTAAAATAAAATGAAAATATTAAAAAAATACATTAAAAATATCTAGAAATATTAATGCTTATGGTACTTTTTAGTTATTTATCAGTTAATAAACAAAATCTAATTTTAAAATAAGTAACAAAAAAAACATAAGTTCTAATTGAAATATACTATTAAATATTTAGTTATAACTGCTTACATAAATTTTGAACAATATCATTAATATTCATATTTATGTTTAATATGGTAGAAAATTTATTTATTTAAAAAAAATAAAGATTAGCACAATAACAAAAATTCATAATCAATATGTAATTTGGAAACAATTCAGTTTGAACAAAAGAATAAAGTTAAATAACTTAAACCATGGTGTTTAATATTAAGTATAACAGGCAAACAATTAAACTGTTTTAATTTCATTTTAATATGTTAATCTTATTTCTGATTAAAATATATAATAAAAATGAGCATGTTTAAAATGACAAATAAGTGTTAAAATTAATCACTTTGGGTTATAGAATATATTAACTGTTAAGAAATGATTATTTTTAATGTTCCATATAAAACATCACTACATCACTATATACCTGTCTTTCATTTTTAATTGAAGATCTGGTGAAAGTGGAATTAAAATTATTCCAAAAATGTTATAATCTTAAAAATTGCATTTAAATTTCTTGAGTTTAAAGCAATTTGTTAAGTTAAAGATTGCTATCAAAATCTGAATTTTTTCTACTTGTATGAGTATATATCAATGATTATTAAATTTACTTGATTAAACAATTCTTTTAGGTAGTTTTTACTGAAAATAAATATCATGATCAACTGCAATTACAAATATCTTGTATTTTATATAATAATTTTAATTCCAAAAAGCAAATTAAAAATACAATATTGAAAAACATAATTTTCTATGTTTCATTCCATATTTGACATGTACAATATTACAAACAACAAAAAAAATAATGGTAACACAATATTATAAAAAATTTTTAGTTCTGTTTATTTGTCTTGACTAGTGATTTTACACATTTCAATCCAAAACATAAAGTTAATTTTAAAAATTTATTACAATAATATATATTTACATGCAAAATAATTTTTTTTTAATTAATTAAATTTATGTAAAGTAAAATTCTTACAGTAGAATCTTGTTTTAATAAATCATAAACAATGGATTTCTCAGAATAACAGATTTTTTTTTCCAGGTCCTGCCAAATCAATGTAATTTTACCTGCTTTTAGTGGATCCATAACTTGGAAGAACAGATTTTTTTCTAGCCCCATCTACTATAAACTTTGTGTTTTTTCAATGTCTAGTTAATATTTGGGTGTTTCTGAAAATCTGTAGAGTTTGATGATGCACCTTTTACATCTGGAATACATACTATTGATAAACTGTACGAAGACAGTTAGCAGACTGATATGTTTGAGGAGGAGCCACCTAGTAAACATTATGATGCTGGTCCATGCGTAACGCCAAAATTTAGAGAAGCCATCAAGTCCTTCCAACTTTCCTGACAAGTTTCAGCATAAACGAACAGACTGTACATGACATTAACATCAAATAATTGTTGTATTAAATAGGCAGAAAAGTGAATAACTAGAAAACCAAGATGAATAACTTTTTAACAAATTGTGAAGTCAAGCAAAATGCTACTGAGCATACATAATTTGCCTTTTTTGTGTTTACAGTATATACAGTTTACATCAGCTTTGTCATACACACATATGACATAATATACACTCTTGTAACATATGTGTTTCTATAGAATAAACAATAGAGATCTCAAAAGACTGAATAAATTCAAGTACAGGAACTTATGTGTAGGGAGTTAAAAAAAGAAAATTTTTTCAAATAATGGATATTTTCCTGGGTGCAGGAAATCCATTATTCACAATATAACAGATTCTTGGAACAATAAATGATTTTCAGCAGCTTGGACAATCCATTCAAATGAGATTCTACTGTATTTATATTTTAAACAACAATCAAATGTTTTAATCAAGATTTAAAAGATTCATGTTAGAATTATTATTAAAAATAAAAAATAAGATTTAAAATTCTATTGTAAATATATGTTTAAATAATCTCATACTGTGCTTTTAATATATAATTTGCAACAGATTTATTCATAATACATATTAAACTACTTTTGTAAATTAATTATTATTAAGTGTTGAAATTAATGAAAAATAATATATTAAATTAAAAAATTATGGTATTATATAATAAATTTTAAAAGTTTGAAATTTAATACTCAGTTTAAATTAATTTTTGTATTAACAGATATATAAATAAAAGCAAATTATTTTTACCGTAGATGAAGTAAAATTGAAGGCTGCCAACATTTGAACTATCAAGATATGGAGTACAAACTTCTCGAACCCCTTCTCCAGACATAACTAATGCTTTTTTTATGTGAACAATACCACACTGCTGTCCAATTGCACCACCTTTAACCAACCATCTAGAAAAGCAGGTACATATATTTTAAAATACATGTTTTGAGAAGTTTATTTTTTTATTATTACATGATACTAAATTATCATATCATTTCAGAAAATATGGAAATAAAATTTATAACATAAACTAAATAATTCAAAATATTACCATAATAATAATAAGCTATAATTCTGTTAATTTTCAAAAACATCCAAAATACTAGAAAATATACAAGCTTGTTAAAAAAATATAAATTAATTAATGTTTAATTAAAATATTAAATAATTTATATAAATTAAATTACATAAAATTAATTTTAAAAGTATATATATGACCATACTGAATTAATATATTTTGATAATTCTTGTTCTTCATTCATTTTTACCCTGAAGGAATTTAAAGTGGATTAAAGAAACATTGTTTTTGATGGATAAATAGTAAATGTTTGCATATTTAATTCTTTTACGGATTTTAGTTACTTTGATATAATTTATGATTTTAATTAAGACAGAAATTTTCATATCTATAAGCTCATCTCAAAGAGTAAAACACTATATATTCAAAACCTTAAAATATTAAAGTACAAATAAAAATGATTTGTTTATTTTATTTTAAAAATAATAATAAATAAATAAATTTTATAGCAATTCTTTTCTGTAGTAACTATATGCCATTCTTTAACTATGATAGGTGATTTTTATTTTAAAATTTTAACTAGAGACAGACAAAATACCTTATGTACTTTTCCAGCAAATTATTCTTTAATCAAACTAACATTTTTGCTTTATTAATAAGCTCTCATCAGGTTTTTTGAAATGAGATTCAATTTGGAACAATATTTAAAATTCCATGAATTTTAGAACAATTTTACATTTACATTATTTTAGAACAAATATTACATTTTCTTTGAAAATATAAATGTGGTTGTTGATTAAGTTACAAATTAAATAAAATATAAATTTAAAAAATAATAATATACTAAAAAAGTACAATTTAAAATAAAAGTAAATAAAACATAATCATTTGGAGTTCTATGATGACTTCATGTTTTGCACTGTGTTACAATTTTTGCTGCAATGAAAAATCATTCTAAAATTAACAAAATTTTAAATATTGTTCCAAATTGAATCTTGCTTCAAAAAACCTGATGAAGGCTTATTAATAAAGCCAAAAATGTTAGTTTGGTTAAAGAGTAATTTGCTGGAAAAGTACATAAGGTATTTTGTCTCTCTAGTTACTGTTTAGTTTCAACTTATGCCAATATCGATAAACTTTTATTTAAAGTTAAATGATGAATGCATATTTAATTAGAAAACTCTAAACAAAATTAAATTTTTATAAGTACAGTGATACCCCGAACTTACGCGATAGGTGGGACCGACCGATAACCGTGTAAGTCGAATTCGCGTAAGTCGGGGTATAATTTTGCAATTTGTGTAAAATCCAAATTGGATGTATGTAAGCTAATAAATGTTCTCATTAATCTTATCTCGTCTTTTGATTCGTTCACAGTTACAAGAAATTGCCACATAGAGTCTCTCAAGTCTCCGTAGATATAACAAACACAGAAATAAATAACACAAAATAAATTGTAGCTATGTGTCGATTCCGCGCAACACGTCCGAACAAGTAAGAAATAGTGTGGGGGGAGTGAGTAATCAAGAGCTGCGTGGCGCTCAAACAAAAGACGAATCGACGAGATTTGAAAATCGCATAACTCCGGGTTCGCATAAGTCGAGGTATTACTGTAAATAAAATGTATTTTGTTTATTAAATTTCTCTGTAATGAACATATCATTTTAAAAAGTTTTGAAACATGTTAAATTTAAAAGTCAATCATACTTTGGTGCATCTTTGATTAACATTTAAATTATATTAATTATAAACATAAATTACGATTTTGTATATAGTAAGTAAATAATTTGAAATAGTTTATAGTCATTTTTAATTAACTTATAACTGACATTTATATATTAAATTTAAAGTGAGTTGCAACTTACAATTTTCCTAGAGTTTTATCAAATTCTTCTGAAAACAAAATATCTTCTTTAATTGGATAAATTGCTAGATTCAAATCCCTACTAGTAATATAACGTTTCTTATATTGTTTCCCATTAAAAATTAAAGCATTTCCATCAGCTTGACATTTTTTCTGTAAATAATCATTAAAACTTAATAAATAACTGAGTAACATAAAAAATTACAAAGATAAAAACCTTACTTAAAAAATACTAATTGATACAGCCCTCACACCCTGAACTCCATGTAGGTGTTAATGAATTAGTCCTAAAACTAAAACTTAGTTCAAAAAATTAAAATTGTGATTTAAATGGTACCAGTTTTATCATTTTTCAATTTTCATTTTAATAATTTCAGATTAAATTTTGTTCTGATTTATTAATAAAATTTGTAAAATTTATTTAATAAATTTATACTTTTGTAAAGAATTTATTAATGAAAATTAATAAATTTTCTCTATTAATACGTTTTAATTATCTTAATAATTTATAAATATTTGTAATGATTGTCTTAATAATTTTAATAATTCCGCTATTTATTTAGCTAATTAAAAATTTTTGTTTGCAAACTGATCTTTGAAAAATTCAAAACGATAATTCGCTAGAAAAAAACATTAAACTAAAAATTACTAAACAGATTAAATTATAGGGAAAATATTTACTAATTATATTTTAAAATCATTTTGCACAGTTATGATTTTCGTATTATACACACAATTTTTAAAGGATACCAAGGGTATAAATAATCAGATATCATTACCTCAAGCCTCATAAATTGAATGATAACTTGAAATTTTTAAAGTGTAATGGTTAGAGAAAAGTCATCCATGGCATGATTTAAGTTCTCAAACATTAATTAATAATGTAGGCTAACATATGGCAATTTGGCATTGAAAATGCCACATTGCTCACAGAGGCAGAAAAAGTGAGAAATAATAATAGATCACTAAAATAGTTAAGAAAAAGTAACTAATTTAAAAATAGTGATCTAACAGGGCCTATGTTTTCATTAAAAAAAATTATGTTTTTATGAAATCTAGATTAAGTTTGGTTTGTTTTATTACAGGAATATGGCACATGCACCATCTGCAGGGGATGCCTCTGTGGAAGACTTTCATTGGGAAACTGGTCCCTATCTAGGTGTTACTAATGTGAAGAAAATCCAGAATACTCCATCTGGTCAGCCCATTGGCTAGGTGCAAAACCACAGCCAACTACTAGCATTCAATGATTTTATCCACTCTGCCACTGGGCTTATGAAATCTACTTTTATTGTCTAGTAACTGTAAATTAAAAATTTATAGCATGTTACTTTTGTTAATGTAAATAGAGTTCACAATTAAAATCAATGAAATTTCAATACATGCGTGATACTCAAATGATGTAAAATCAATTAACAATAGTGAAATCTATTCAAATTACAGTCAACAGGTTTAACATACTATAATATTGAAAATGAAACTGTCACTTAACATATTTTACTTTTGAGCTCCTCATTTATATGTCAATTCTAATTCGCACTTCATATCTCAGCTCTCAAAGAGTCTAAAAGGATGGGCATTAAAATTGAATAAACACAGTAACATCTTTCCAAATGAGAATTGGTGAAACTTTGCAAAAATAGTGATAAATGAAAAAGTGACTTTTAGTTGAAATAGTGTATTGGTTCAAACCCTGCAATAACTGAAACTGAAAACATTGCTGAAGTGAAAACGAATTCTATACACCATTTACTTGGACAACACTTTGAAACCAGTTGCAATCAAACATCAAGCACCAACTTCCGGTTTTATGTGGAGCATAAATTCCATTAAAGCTTCATAACAGGATTCTATTTTTATGGATGGATATAGATTTTCAAAATTCATAACTAACCCAACTTCTTCATCCAGTAAACTTAATTCCTGTAATTCCTTTACTACATTCATTGGGTTTTGTGCAACGGGTTTTGATACCTACATCATTGATTAAATTTGATAGCATAATTCATCTTTTTTGAATGTGTTTAAATATGTTTAATTTTTGTTTAAAATGTAGAATATTTTTAACAAGAATATTAGATATACTCAGTGGTGATATTCAGCGGGTTCGCACAGGTTCGGCCGAACCCGTTGTTAACATTTTCAAAGTTTTCCGAACCCGTTGTTAAACACACGTAACATTTCTCAGTGGTTTTGTTTCTTTTAAAAAATATATTAAAATATACGTATTATACTCTGTAACACTACTAAACTAGAGCCTTATACCCCGTTCGCCATGTTCCACTTGTCGCCGTTCGCATATAACCTCCATCGACCGTTTCAATCTCGACTGAAACGAGATTTAATCGCGATCGACTCAAGAGAGTTCTTGAAACTAGATCCAGTCATACGAGGGATCCCACAATCCCACGCGCGCGAGAAAATACAAGATGGCTGCGGAACACGTGTCCGGCTATCGACAGCGAAATAAAAAAGATATTGTATTTCGAGAAACAATGACATCTGTCTCTTATTATAATAATACCTAATGATAAAATAAACGATTTAAAAAGTTTTTTCTTGAGAAAAAGTCATAGGGAAAGCAATTAACTCCTTGGGACTCTAGCAATTTTTGATATTAATGTAATTAAACATAAAAAATACTTAAAACTGAAAAAACGAAAGAAATGCGTTAATTTTGAAGAAAAAGCTTCAGATTTTATTTTCCTTTGTCTCGTCTTTCTGTGAAATCTTACGCTGATGAGTCATTGTTTAAACAGCTGGATGACCTTGAACACAGCTGGAGTCCGATTTTCCGGGACATTCTCATAGAAGTCTCGGGAGGCGATAGGTTTATAGTAGGGTGAATACTAGTTGGCCGTATATTTTTAAATATTTTTAAAAAATTAAAATTTTTATTGCGATTTCCGACCCCCCCGACTTAATTAAACTTATATATAATAAAATCTATTAATTAAAAAAATTTAGAAACTATCGGAGGTCGTTTTTGACATCAGAAACTAGCTTTAAATAACTTTACCGAAGTAAAATCCGTGCGCTACTACTTTAGAATGATGAATGAAATTTGATATCAAACTCCCATTAAAAAACAATTAAAAAGCAATTAAGTGTGAATCGTGCGTCATTAAAGGTAAATTAAAATCGCGATAAAGTTTTTTCGTGCGGGAAAAAATTTTTGAAAAAATTTGGAGACTTATAAAACATTCCATAAAGCCAAAAAAACAAAACTTTTAGGGGACCAAACGCCCGAGTTTTATGTAACGCTATGTAACTTGCCCGAGTTATCTCGGGCTTGGGGTTAGATTAAGGAAAAAGTTTCTGTTAGCAAACCCTTTGTTAAATATTTCGAATATCACCACTGGATATACTGTATATTTAAAGACTATTGTCATATCATATTAATCTTCAGCAAAATTGAGAGAAGAAAATAATTACATACCCCTGTTTAAATAAGATTACTTCTAACACAAAGTAATAAATGGATAATTGTTATTTATTTGTGATCTGAAGAGTTTCAACTAAATAGATTCTAATATATAAATTAATAAGTAAATAGTTTTATTACTTAAAATCAATACTAAGGACTCATAAAATTAACATTATTCTAATATGAATCTTATTAAATATTTATTTTTGAACTTCAATATCAATTTTTTTTTATAATGATCAAACTCTTACTTTTATTTTTCCTCCAGGAAAAAATAACCAATTTCCAGGATCAATAGGATCAAAATCATCCTGTAAAACTTTAGGATAGTCTGCTGCACTGTTGATAACTATATTATCAACACCCCAACATCCTTGAAAATTACTTCCAACTTTTGGAGTTTGTTGATGCCAACGAAAACATATATCTGTTGATCGTGCTTCAGGAGGCAAACAAATAATGTGAACAGTAGTTTCTGCTGAAGTATCAGTTCTGAAAAATTAAGAATAATGTTGCTGTTAATGTAATTTTTCATGGTCAACATATTAATATATGATTTTCTTGCAGTGAGAAAATAATTATAACAAGCAATTATTTATTGTGACATCACGGATATTTCTCAAAGATTGAGAAAGATGACCTGTTTGAAACTGGAAAATATTTCCAATTACATTCAATTTTATTATATTTCAATTAAAATAATTAATTAAAAAATGTAATCACTTACTGTACAGAATCTAAAATATGCCATTTATTACATTTATTGACTCCATAAGCTATATCTATTTTTGGATCATTTGCTGATGATGAACAATTTCCAATACCTAGAAAAAATTAACAAAAAAATTAATAATATAAAGCATCTTTACAAAATAAAATAAATTTAACAAAAATTAATTTTAAATTTTCTTTAAATTTTAAAAATTGATTTAGAATAATTTCCATTGCTGTAGTAGAGAAGCAAAACTTCTCAAATACTGAAGTCATTAATTACNAAAGGGACTACATGAGTCCAAAATGCATTTTGTTAAAAGTACTTAAAAAGAATGAAAAAAGAGTGTTATAATATACAAAAGTCATTGTGATAAGTTTGGGAAAAAACAGCACTATTAGGTTTCTGAAATAATAATTTAATACAAATCCAAACAAGAAGCTAAATGAAGAATAAATTCATAATAATGAAATTAATTATATTTTTTAAGTTAATGTTATTAATTAGTAATATTAATAGCTTTTGAATCAATTTTACTAATATCAATTTTGATTAACCTATATTATTTTAGAAAGTATTCTAAGTATTTCTTTCTAATTCCATTCTTTAGTTTTTTCTATGACAACAATTAAATATTACTAAAAAACAAGCAGTAGAAATTAACAGTAATTATGTTAATAATATAATATTAATATCAAAATATTATTATTACTTTTTCAAGAACTTTTTGAATAATTTTTAATAACAATAAAATTTCTTCAAAATCTAAAAAATATTTAGTAATTTTTCAAAATTCAGAAAAAAAACTTATTAAAAACAGAAAAATTTTTATCTAAAATCAAGCCTAAACAAATTTCACACAGATAAAAACCATTTATTATTTTCATATTATAAATATTGTGACAGTTGAGCATCTTAAAAAATACATTCTTGGCATTTAACAACATTTATATTTAATTTTAATTCAAAAATTATTAAAGATGTAAAATTATGTTTCTATTTGTTCTAAATTTATAATTTAATCTATTTTCATGTAATAATTTTTGTTTTTATCAAAAAAATTTAGAAAATGAAAATGACTGAATATTAGCTATTTAATAAAATAGCTTACTAAAACAAAGAAAATTTAATATTCGTTACAATTTATTATAAGAAATAACAACAAGTTAACATTAATAGTATGATGATAACTTGGTCCCTGTTTTATCTAAGAAACAAGTAAAACAGCAAAATCGTATTTGGGACAAGACTATGTCTCAGAGACGGAATCACTTTGATGCTCAAGGCAGGTCTCGTTCTCATTCTCCTATCTTCTTTGATATCACTGCTTTTAGGCGTGACTGTTAAAACTTCACCTGCCTCAACCACGAGGTCATCCATGAGCCATTTTCAGTGAATGTTCTGTCGGTAAAAATTTACTAAGAAACTGATAATTTACTTAATTTGTATTGACAGCGTGATATATACAATAGCATCAATATATAATATAAATCCAAGATCACGCGGCTGTTGACTTGAAAGGTTAATTAATGTGAAGTGAAAAAATGTCTCCCCTACCTTGTCCCTGATGTCCATGTTGACCACAACCACGTTTTCTGTGTCTTTTGTTCTGTTGTTAAAAATTTACTAAAAAACTGATAATTTACTTAATTTGTATTGGCAAAGTGATATTTACAACAGCGTCGATATATAATATAAATCCAAGATCGCACGGCTGTCAAATCGAAAGGTAGTAAAAAGATGTCTCTCCTTGTTAGAGTTTAGGAGCAAAGTGAAATCAAAGGGCGAAGGTCACATGCAGGCACCCTCAGTCCTAAGGTCAGAGTTCACTCCTTAAAATGACTGCGGGTGGTACTCTCCACTACCTGACTTCAGTGGGGTGAGGTGGCTGTCTTGCCTGTTTGTAGAAGAGGGTCACCATTTTGGATTTTATTTTGACTCTATTCTCGGTCCCGACTACCTACGAGTGTGAATTTTTTTATGTGCAAATGATTTGGGCACCTAATACTATGTGCCAAATATCAACTCTCTACATGTACTCCTTCATACCTCTATGCTGATAAGAACAGGTGGCAGTATGATTTTATAAACAAGACATAGTCTTGTCAATAAGTAGACTAGTTCCTTTTATTTATGAGGAGTGTTACCAGCCAGCCTTGCTTTGGTTTGGTCTCAAAGAAAAGTCTAGGGCACAGTACATTTTTAAGTGGCTTCATTGTTCCCATCAATGCCAACTTCAAACCAAGCCATATAATAATCCTTGTTGTTTTGTTTAGAACATTTTGAGAAGGATCATTAATTATCAAAACGGAACCAGACTGTTCTAAGAGGAAATTTGCTCTTGTAAGAAAGTCTGAGTTCTTGCATAGTACAAACTATTTATATTAATCTGCAACTACAGTAGAGCATCGATTATCTGACCCCTGATCAACCGTCACATCAGTTAACCGACCGCGTTCTAGTCGGCAAATTCAAATGTCCGCTAGTGATGTGACGCTACAATATTTGGCTATGTCTTGGCTACTTTAATATTATTTTTACGTGTTTTAGCTGGCAACACTGACTCGACCATGAAAGGGAGCCAGTATTTAAACAAGGCTTAATTTTCTAATTTTTAATGATACAATAGCGATGATTATTATTTTTAAAAAATTTTTGTTAGGCTTAACATCGATGAAAATTCAACACGAAGTAGATTAATAGTGATATACTAATATACTAATTACATGGGATATACTAATATACTATACTAACGTATTTTTTCATATTTTTCTATTATCCATTTTTTCAGTTATCCGACCAACCCCAGTCCCCAATTAGGTCGGATAATTGATAATTTGAAATTAAATTATAGAAATGTCTAAATTAAAATTAATTATTTATAAATATTAAATTTAATATCAGATGACAGCATAACTGCCTTCCTCTAGTCAAATAAATAATTTCTAATATTTAATTATAGTCTTTACATAGCCCAAGAATTTGACATATTGTTTGGTGTGTTTATCAGACATATCTGTGATTTTTTTTGTTTTCTGCAAATTGAATTCACATTCCAGGTTGGTTCATTCTGCATTAGAAGAAATGATGATAATGATTCATGCTCCTTAACAATGTATATTGTATAATTTTCTTTGAATAAACATTATACATAAAATATTTGAGTATTTTTTTCAGCATGGAATGCATTATCATATTTTACATTAATTTATATGAGAAAATTTGTTTCACTTAATAAATATTTCACATTACAAGTAAGATTCTGGAATGATTTATGCTCGTTAAGCGAGGTTCCATTGTATTTACATAATGCATATTTTCAAACACACTCAAGTTTACTTCATGTGCACTTTAACTAATTTATAATATAAAGATTTTTATATGTAGTACTAGTAAATATGAATTCTATTTTCATTATATTAACTTAAATGATTCAAATCAAAGAAACATACATTTTAAAGTACTTAAGATTTATTTACTATATTTAATACTTACAGTTCTTATAACTATTATTATTAATCACAATTTGTAGTTTATTTAACTATATAATTATTATTTTCAAAACACATAATTTAAAAAAATGTATATTAATTATATATATAATGTATAAAAATTACCAATTGCAAACTGTAAAGTTGTTGCCAATGTTGTATTTAGGGGAACTGTAACCTAAAATAAAAACTTAAAAATTAAAATCTGTATCAAATAAATAAAATTACAAACTTAAATATTAAACAACTGCTAAAATTATAGAAAATATTTCACATTTTAAAATAGTTAATTTCTAAATATATATTTTTTTATTGCTGAAAAAATAACATTTTAATCAAATTTCATTATATAGCTCTTGCAACTTACAAAATATGAATATATATTTTGTAAAATAATAAATAAAATATATATATATATATATGTAAAAAGGTTAAGAACCACTGCTCTACTGTATGTATATATGTTGCAGTCAAAACCAGTTTTTAGTTAGGACGCGTTTTAACTAGTTGAAACTAGTTTATACTGGATGTCTCTGTTATAACTAGAATTTACTGCTAGTCAAAAATGAATTTGAGTTAAAACTAGTTTTAACTAGACCAAACCGGTTTTTACAAAATGGCTTAGTAAAAACTATTTCAACCGAGGTCAAAGTTTATTCAGCTAACAAGTGATAACGTTTACAGTCTCTAATTACAATAGTAGCCAGTCAAGAAGATTCAGAAACTGCAGCTAGTACGAATGCAAAACCTCAAATAATACCAGCTAGTGACGAAGAATCTGAAGCTAATGCGAATGGACAGACCCAAATAATAGCAGCCAGAGAAAAAGCTCATCTAAACTTGGAATAACAGGCCCAGAGAATGAAATTGGCTTCAGATTCAATACATGCTTCCGTAGAAATCAGTGATAATATAATTATACCAATCCCTGATGTCGACAGAGTAAAAGCTGATCTCCGTAATATTATCAGAGTGATTCTTCAAAAGGATGAACAAGGTTTGCATAAATTTGGAACAAAATATGGGATATTCGATAAATTGTATTGCAAGTATGTATTGTTCAATTGTGCTACTGTTTAATGTATCTAACTATGCAGTTAATTCATTAATATTTTGAAGTCTAATTATTATGAAAAAAATTGTTTTCTTTTTTGGGCACAATTTACCATAATTATTAGTAATTAAAGATTCGATTTAAAATAAGTATGAACCTATTTGAAAACTTAAATGTACTTGATCAGATCAGAATTCGACACGTCCAAAGAAAAATTCTTGATACTAAAAGGAATGCCAGAGACAAATGTATCTTTAAGAACTGCTGCCAGGAGAGCAGCCTTAAGAACAGGCCAAGGATTTGTTTGCTGTTTGTGTAAGAAGGCGTGTATGTCAAAGATGCGCTTTTGTAAGAAAAAAAGCAACTTGTGTAACTTGAATTGCCATGATAGTTTGCCTCACAATAACAAGTAATGTAGACTTGATTTTTATATTTATATTCCTTTATTGAATGATTATTTTTGTATGACTTTAATTAATATTACTGATGTTGTTTTAGAGTTAATATTGCCGACATGGCTCTGTGATTTTCCTTAAAAATATTCCTGTAGTGTATGATTAATTTTGTATCGCTTTAATTAATTTTAATAACACATATGTAACACTATTAAAGAATACAAATGTTTTAATCCCAATCATGACTTTATTTATTTCCCCCAAACCTATTTATGTAGCTAAAATTAGTTTTAACTAATGTTCAAAGTTAAAACTAGTTTTATCTAAAATCGAAACATGCACAGCAGTAAATTCTATTTATAACTAGGAAATTCTAGATGTAACAAAGACATCCAGTATAAACTAGTTTCAACTAGTTATAATGTGTCTTAACTAAAAACTGGTTTTGACTGCAACATATATATATGCAGTAGAGCAGTGGTTCTTAACCTTTTTATACTCGTGGCCCACCAAATATTTCATAATTTTTTGTGACTCCCATTTTTTAATAATAATTAATATTTGTTAAATTATTTATAATAAATTGATTTTTTTATTATTGCTTTATTTTTTTATATAATAAATGTAAAACATAACTTTATTATTTCATTATCTATTTAAATAACATTCAAACTTCACAATTAAACATAAACTTTAACTTATTAACTTTTAACAAAAAATTAACTTAACTTATTAACTCATTAACTTAACAAAAACTCATTAACTTTTAACAAAAAATAAGAAACATTTAAATATTCATAGAAAAAACAAAAAATATTTGAAAATAATTTAATGAGATTTCCACTGCTGAATATCCTCAACTAATTTGTTAATTCTTGGTTCAATTGTTTTGTAATGCTATCCACATGCAGGCATCTAATCGCAATTGATTGTGTTTTTTTGTTTTTATATCCACCATAGTTGAGAACCTTTTTCACACGAATATGTACTAGCGAAAGGCAGAAAATTTTGCATTGCTTCTGAAAACAGGGGAGGATATTCTGCATGAATTTGTATCCAAAATTGAGACACACTATTAGTTTTGAAAACAATCTCAAATTACAATCATTTATTAATTCTAATAAATCAGCTGATGATATATTGGTATTTTTATAATTGTTGTATGGATCTTGAATCCACAGTTTTGTAATGTGAACTTCATCATTACGAAAATATTTATCAAATTTATCAATTAATTTTAAAAGATGACATTTAATTAAGGAATTTACATTTTGTTTCTCAAATTGAAATTTTAAATCAAAGATTAATTGTGAATAGAATGAAAACATTTCATTTATATTTGAATCTATTCTTTGGATCCATCTTTGTAATTTCATTTTCATAGCCTCAATTTTGTTATACATATTAAAAATATATAAGAATATACTAAAAATATATTCTGAAGGAAATTTTGCATAATTTGGCAGTCCCCCAGCAAACTTCTTACGGACTTCCAGAGAACTGTGGCCCCCTGTTAAGAAACACTGCAGTAGAGCATTGATTATACAAATCAATTGGGGACTGGGGTTGTTCAGAAAATCAATTTTTTGAATAACCGATTATGTACAAAAAATATATTAACTTATCCCATGTTGAAATTTGTTCAAATCCTAGCACGTCCTTAAGTACCCTCTCATGGTTGCGCCAGTGCTGCCAGCTAAAAAACGCACACCAACAAAAATAATACTGGAGTAGCCCAAGACATAGCCAAAGATTGCAGTGCCACAGCACCAGTGAAAATTTAAATTTGCCAACTGGAAAGCTTTCGGTTAATTGACATTTCAGTTGATTGATATTCAGATAATCCATGCTCTACCATATGTATGTATATATATATATATATATTTATTATATNTTTTGTAAAACATCAATATACAAAAAATTATCATTCAACAATATTGAAATAATTTCATAACTAATAAGTTATATTTTGAATATTAGCTTTAATAGTGATTTTCCAAAATAATTTATTATTTATTGCATATACAAAAGGAAATGGCTTAAGACAATTCATATCCTCCCCAAAAATAATGTCCATAACAAAAGATTAAAATACAAATAACAAATAATACAAATCAATAGACATAATAAAAAATATACTTTAAAAAAAAATGGTTATTTGGTTTTTCTATAGTTTTGTATCAGGTTTAGCCAGTTTTTGAGTGGTTGTATTTTAACATTGTGTGAAGTCAATAGCGTAAAATGTGTTCTGTGATTTTGTTAGCAATGACTTTTGTTGAACAGAGAAAGAAAAATTAAATTTTGCATGAAGCTTGGGAAAAGTGGTGCAGAAACCTTCAGAATGTTGAGTTTTGTGTATGGAAATTCTAACATGAGCAGATCTAAGATATACAACTGTCATAAACGGTTCAAGGAAGAGAGAGAATCAACTGAAGATGATCCAAGAGCTGGAAGGAAGGAAAAGAAGTTCTGTTAAATAATCATCAATTAACCATACAAAAGATCAAAAGAGATTAGTGTTTCAGTGGTATCTTGCCACATTATAACCAAGTTAGATTACTCAAGAATAGTGGCAAAGTTTGTTCCATAAATAATGATGGTAGTGAAAAAAATGGACAGAAAAGTGATTGCTGAAGAATTTCTTAAGCAAGCTGAAGCAGATGAAAATTTCTTAAAATCAATAATTACTAGTGATGAGAGTTGGATATATGAGTATGATCTGGAGACTAAAAAGCAGTTGAGTCAATGAATGAAAAAGAAAGAATCTCAACTAAAAAAAAGCTTGAATGAGTCAGTCTAACATGAAAGTGATGCTAATCATTTTTTTTAATTACCAATAAATTGTGCACAAGGAATTTGTTCCACATGGATCAACTGTGAATGCAGAGTACTATCATAAAGTGTTGCATGCCTTTAAGTTATCAGATGTAAGTGATCAGACTTGTGGCACAAACAAGCTTGGTTTCTTCATCATAATAATGCTCAGTCATACACAGCATTACTCATCCAAGACATAATATTCCACCCATTGTTCCACAACTACCTTTTTCACCTGACTTCTTCTTCTTTCCCCATTTAAAACATATTAAAAGAACAATGTTTTTCATCAAAAGTTCAGATTGTACAGGCTGAATTACTGAAAACACAAAATGACATTCCAGGCAAGCATATGCTGCAGCGTTTGAGGATTGGAAGAAGAGATTTCAGCATTGCAGAGCAGCAAAAGGGGTAAAAATTTAAAAGGTGACCCAACTTATAAATATCTTATAAGTTAAAAATAAAGAATTTAGAGCAAGAATTCTTGAACCTTTTGAACATATCTGTTACCTGTAAGTTCTTCCCAAAATAACTAACTGTTTGTTTAAAGAATTAACAGATAACTGAATCATATATCCACTTATTTTCAACAAAAGAAAAAAAGTAGTTTGTTTTTAAGCTTTGCTTTATTATGAAAAAGTAGGAAAAATTATTATTATTGATTTAATTTTATATTTTTAAAACATTTTAAAAAAAATTACCAATGATCGAGATCCAGAATCTTCACAAAAACTAGCAGCTTTACCATGTAAAATATTTCCACATTGATTATCCAATTTTCCTCTTGATACTTTGGACCAGAGTGCCTGATCAAAAACATCACTAGATTCAAAATCTTCTCTTAAAACAAGAGCAGCAGAATGAATTTCTTTCATATCTGGTTGTATATCTTCCTTTTTTTCAGCTAAATAA